TGGCCCGTTGTATCCAGGGTCCTGGGGGATGTTCGATATTCACGATCAAAAGTCAGGTGTTAGACTGGTGACATTTGGCAACTAGTAGCAGAATGCTTCTTGGGCGGGGCATTTTCCAAGTTCCTGGGGCACGAAGCGTACTGGTCTCGCTTCCCCCATTCATGAGTATAACCACAGCCTCTCAAGATCTCTCAAGCATATACCGTGTCACTTGTTTCAGGTCGAAATATATAGTTCTTCCCACCCAGTGCGTTTCCTGGCAGGCCCTCTCCATTTCGGAAGGCCTTGTTAGACCAGGCGCCATGGTTGAACCTCAAATCTGGTGATTTCGAAATGGACGGGATGTAAAGGACAGTGAGGTCGGTTGTCATGACAATGGCTCACGTGATGAGCGGCCCGAAAACATTGACACACACACATATATATATACATATCAGTATTCTTGTGGTAGCAGAGGGAATGATACAAACATGTTAATCTTAATTTCTCCTCTAGCCAAGAAGCAGATTCAAGCGGCGCAGCATAAACGTGAGACTAGATTGGCCAAAACTTCACACATTAAGCTCGAACACGTTGACCAGACATGGTGTCTCAATGAGAAGGCCCAAACAGTGGGGGTTTTGCACACTCAGCAATCTGAGACAGATGCATGGACCCCTGCCAGGATCACCCGCCTGTATTCAAAGTGGTGTTGTTGCATCTCCAGGTCATTTGGAACAGCCTGGTGATTTTTTGATGTGATTTGGCCGTGTTCCTCTCAATGGAGACTCAGCCGGGGCAGCGATGGATTGGCAGGTGACTGCGATGGCGATGATTGCGGCAGTGCCGCCACAGGTGCATGGAGAAGTGGAGTGGATGGACATGCAGAAGTGCAGCTTTGGGATGTTCGCCACACTATGTCACGGTGTTTGAGCCGAGGGAGGTATGTTTTGAGGGAACTTGACTTGGAACACGTGGTGACTACAGTGACTACACAGTCAGAACTGGTCATTTTCCTGCATGATGCATCACCCTGGTCCTCAGTGGAACTGTTGTCTCGCATTCTTTGCAGCGAAAGGAGCAGACCTACCGCACTACCCAGGGCACCATCCTGGAATTGGCCTACCCGAATTCATGCTGATAAGGGTGCCAAAACATGCCTTTGCCAAAGCCACTAGTACATGAAGAGGACGTAAAGGTGTCAAAACCTTGGCAAAACCCTGCAAAACTTAACTCATCCTTCCGGAGTCTTGAAATGGATTAAAGATGAAATGAAAGCAAAAACAATGACACATCTTGAGCTTTAAGACAGATGCCTGGGAGTTTCTGGCCCACCACCCATGGCTTCGTTGGTAACTCCGCACTTCCTTGTGATGATTACACCAGGCGCTTCGGATGTCCCCTTCGACAACGATGTCAGAGACTTGGAGGGGGCGACGGATGCCGACCTGTCGACGTGATGCGTGACCCGCGGTCTGCCGCATGCGCCTCAGACAGATGGCGTTATTCACGCTCGCATGTCCTGGGATAGCCGTGCATTCTATAGGATGCTCCAGTTTTGGGATATATTGTATTGCGTTTATCAACCAGACAATCTCTCAATGCTGTTTTTTAACAAAAAAATCACTGTTTCTATTATTATATACTCCCCTCGATAAATAGATGGGGGGAACCCCCTTTCCGTCCTAATTGCGGCAGCCAGTGCTTCGGGGTGCCCAGTTCCTGATGCTTGGTTTGGCTTACATATGCCCAACAAAAAAAGAAGCTACAAACACTGCTGTGACTTCTTGTCGGTGTTGCCTGTGCTTGTCCCAGCCATCGAGATCACGGCTAGGCCAGTGTTTGTTCGGACGATTAACCATGAGGCGCAGCGGTGGTTTGGACTTGTTTGGTTCGTTTTGCTGGCTGGTTGGTTGTTGGCTGGTTGAGGACATGCCTTTACCTAGGCAGTTGGAGGAGTCGTCAAACGTGTGTCATTTGTCGAACTTTGGTTCGAAAGGTGGAGGAACAGCCAGGCGTGAAGCTGGTAGATCAGGATCTCCAGATCTCATGGCAGGAACACTGCCGATCCAAGGCGCCCAAGTGGGTCCCAGATGGGAAGGGAATGAGTTCACAACATCGTGGGAATATCCTCTTGAATTTCGACCCAATATGACAGATTCTTCGTTCCTCCACCTGACCCCCCCCAAAACACCTGCAAGGTATCGTTGGGGCTTTGGGAACGGCCCGTTTGTTTTTGTCAGACGGGGATGGAAGAGGACGAAAATCCTTCAAGGAGCTTCTTGTTCCTAGTATGGCCAGGAGCTACTAGTAGTGTCCTTGCTCCCTTTGCTCCTAGTAGCTTGTGTTCATACCACCTTTGGACCCCTAAGGCTCTGGACCCTCAGATTCCTTGTTTTAGAGGCTTTGCTGTGCCATTCGCAGAGCGCGGAGTTCGCGTCGCTGAAGTGGATGTGACAGGAAATGGCTGCTACTCAAGTGAGAGAGAATGGACGGGGAGGGGCCAAAATTGGCATAGATACTGATGCTACTAGTTCCGCCACATCTTAATCTCTTCTGTGGAATTATAGTCCTTCAAACTTTCGGTTCGCTCCCTCCATTCGCGCCCGTGGCCGCTGCAGTTGCACCCTTGTGTTGGCGGGTTTCACCCTCACGTGCTCGGCTTGTGTTGAATTTGGAAAAGGTTTCCCAGTTTTGTCAACTTGTCATTGTCTCATCGCGTCTCATCGCCCATTTGTGTCAGTCTGTGGCAAGGAGGCAGGGCAGGTCTGTTTGTTGATTTCTTGCACCTGCTGGACCAGCATTTGCCAACCGTTTTGTAGATGTTTGTGTCATATTGTCATATTGCCATATTTTGCACCAGCCGTGCCGCAGCTACAGGCTGACAAAGTATCCACTGGATGCTTGGAGAATTGCAGACCCAGCAATGCAGCAAGCTATCGGAATAATCAACATCGGGTCCTCAAGTGACCAACTCAGTCCTCTGCGCAGATCATCATGGCAGACCGCGGGCACTGCGGTTGTTTTGAATCACCACAGAGACTCAAGACTCAGGAACACTTGGGTTCTGTGGGTGTCACCCCAGTTGCCCATCAAGCAATGCACATAGGGGGTAAAGAGCCAACCGAGTTGCAGGAATCTGGGCGTTCGGATGGGTTGAAGTTCCCCGACAGGAACCGACCTGACAGACCGGGTGACCGGGACGACCAAAAAGCCATCGACGAAAAGGAGCCGGACATCGCCTCATCCGAAGCCATGGCAGCTGCTGCGGCGACCATTGGGGCGCGGCGTGGTAGGCACGAGACAAGAGACCAGAGACATGCCACATGCCGCCGTAGTATATTGTTAGAGTTATTTAGAAGTATTATTGGAATATAGATGTTCTTTTGCCTTTACCACTTTGACTAGTGAGTGATGCTTGTCTTCAACTGCAAGTTTCGGCTTCTTCTTTGCAGTTTGAGTTTTCCGCTTCTGGTTCTCCCTTAGGTCACGCATGGTCTTTTTTGGGGGCAGCACATCCTAGCTTCACCTAGACCTAGCTCTACGGGCGAACGTCCCGGAGGCAGCGTGGCCAAGCGATCGTGGTGGAACAGGAACTGCAAAGGCTGCGGTGGGCTGCGGGAGATGTTGGAGCGGAAGATCATAGGGACATGAAGTTCTGAAGGTTTCTTTGAGTCCCAAATGTAGATCCACTGATCACCATGGAAGTTGGATGAAGTTGGGTCAAAGCTTTCGAATGCAAGTTCGAGGGAGAAATGTTGACCAGTGATGATGACTGACGTGTTCATCCAGGGCTCGGGTGCTCACGGTGGTCACCCCCATCCAACATCATCCAACCAATGCTTGAAATTCGGGGGCGAAGGACACGATGCAGCATGAGAGAAGACACATCCAGTTTTCGATAGTTTTTGCAAAGGAAAGCGGCAGAGAACCAGATGAAGAAGCAGCAGAAGGAAATGGCTCAGTCAATCTTGGAAGCTTGGCAGTGTGCTGCGCGTGGAGCAACAGCCTGCCAATGCAATGTACTCAGTGTGGGTGTCCGGCAAGGGCATGGTGAAGCATATTTGCTCCATACACTCGGGTACTCACCAAACAGCATACCTGGTTCCTGATGAATACTGTTGCACCAGAAGAAATATGGACCCTTGATCAATAAACACCCCTCAGAGATTCTCAGAATAGGCTGATCAACATCTCCATATGGCCCGTTTAAGAGGTACTGTAAGTTTCAGAGTCGATGTTGAAGCTTTGTTGCGCAACGAGACTGGGCCAGGGCATGTGTGTCGATTCTTTGACTCAGGACAAGTACGACAAGGACAAAAATGGAGTCTTGAGAGCCTTGGTTGCTATCTCATGCTATCTCCACATAAATGTATGAGCTGTCGGACAGTGGAGCCTGGCAGTGGCACCTCAGCCAATAAGTCTTCATCTTATCATATTTTCTCCAACATCGCTTCATTTGGTTGCCTCCCCTTGGGAGAGACAGGACTTCGATTGACCCAACTCCCCCATGACGAAAACTGCCATTTGGTCGACTCCAAGACCTCGTCGGAACCTCGAAACCTATATTGAAACTCATCGAAACGTGTTCAAATGGTTCTTTTGCTTCTTGTTACTAGTAGCGATGAACCTACTTGCCATGGCCTCCACCCTACTCGCGTCCTTGCTAGTGTTCAAATGGGTCTTCCAAAGATTTCTGGTGCGTGCCAAGAATGCAACTGTTCAGCATGTGATTACATGTGCCCTGGACCACTCACAAGGGATGTTGAGAATGGGTGAAACAAATTGACGTGGTCATCACCCATACACCAGGACTCCGTTTTTCAGGGGCCTCCGGGCCGGCCTCCAGAAGATCCAAGAAGGTCGGCCTAAGCTCCTCTCAGGCTCAGAGGAGCTTCGGGCCATGCTGGAAGACTATTCCATGCATCGCTTCAAAGAAGAGGTCCACCCCTCCTCCGAGGACTCCGGGAACCACAACCTGGATGGGGGTTTCGAAGCCGAAAGGTTTAGTTGGGTCTAAGATGTTCACCTTCTGTTTGGCTTTTTGAGTTTGTGGGCAGGGGCGGCCTGGTTGTTGGCGCCACTATGAATCGGATTCAGGTGTGAAGGACTGCCACCACTACGGGAAGCTTCCCAAATTCATCGTCCTGGTGAAAACGGACTCTCTCCGCGTTTTGGACTTGCGACCGGGTGGGAGGTGGGTGATGGCCCGAGACCAGGATCGATCCACACCCGAGACTGGAAGAGGAGAAATGGACCACCCAGTGTTTTGGTGGGTCTCCATGCTCACTGATACACGTACGATGCACGTCCGCTGGCACCTCCGTTCGGCCTCACTTCGTTGTTTGGGAACTTTCGGAGCAACCCGGTGTGAAACTGTCGGGACCCTGGCGGGCCTTACCAGGACTTGAGCTTTCTTTTTGGCCGCTTGGAGGATCTGGGGTTGGGGCAGTTGGAGGCGCGTGGACACAGGAAGTTGGAAGTGAACTGGAGAATACTAATCATTTATACCCATTTACATATACTATACAACCATATACAATCACAAAATAACAAAGACGTCCTATATATAATATAGAGTCCTATAATCATCATAATATGACTTTCTGCTACAGGTGGATGAGACCTTGGCGTGTTATTTGTGTTGTTTGCTTGTGGCACAGTCAGCCAACAGGGAGATTTGAAGATTTTGTCGGAGCAGTTCGCTTCTCCTTTTCTATCCTTTTCTGATGTTTGACATTGCTGCTGATTGGATTGTAGGTGAACATGTCAGGGAAGTCAGCGATGTCATCCAAGAAGATCAGTCGTATGTTGAATCTTCCTTCAGGGCTTTGTGGCTCACCTTCAACCTCTGAGGCCCCCAACTCCTTTTTCCGGCCCGAGCCGCCGTCTCCGGCACCGAACGACCCGGTCGGTGGTGTCGGTCTCTGAGGTTTGTTCCACAAGAAGGGCGGCAAAGCCGACTGCATTGAACGTGGTGAGCTCATGCGCCTTGGAGCCAGGTGTTGCGGGGGAACTGGCGGCGTCGCCAAAGAGTACATCATGAAGTGATCCACACACGTTTGAACATAGCGCACGGCGCACGTGCAGCAAAAGTCCTGGAGTCAAAGAGGCTGCGGCTGGGTGTCAACTCCCGATGTGGAGCTAAAGTTGCATGAGAAATCGCTCCCAAAAATTCCCAAAACCACCATGAGTACCACCATGTACGCGGGTGTTTTGACTCACATCCTCTTTGAGCCGTTTTTTTCCGCACTTCATTTTGAAGCTGAATTCATCAACGTCTTCAAAACCTCTCTCAGGGTGTCTAGTATATATATGTATATAATGTCTTCTATGACGTGGGACATGCATGGCAAACATCTGATAGCATTGGTGTAGGTGGCACTGCTCCGGCTTCAGATCTTGATCTTTGCGTCATCCAGTATATCCAAAAGATGGACCAATTCCATGGACAATTTCCGTCATGTGGCCAAGATCCAAGAAGATTGACACATCGGGGAAAAGGAACAACAAATGTAACAACAAGCCCTCGTGAACAATGTTGGACAGAATCAACAGCAAATTGTTTTTCCCTCACGGGTTTGATGCGCTTTCAGCACTTTGATGCTTGATCTGTTCAGGAGCCTTCTCAGAGCTTGGGGAGACTTCATGAAGATGAAAGAGCTCGCCGGGCCACACAGAGCTAGCGGCTAGCGCATCACTTGCTTGTACTCGTGCAGGAATGAGATGCTGTAAGGGTGAGTCCACCGGTTCCCCCTGTTCAGCTTGGCCTGTCACAGCTTCACAAATTTTTGAGCCCCATTGGCATGAAGGAAAGCACATGAAGACTGAGGGTTGGCATTCATTGTTGAGGACAACCGTTGATGCCCACAAAACGTTTACTATCTTTCCCATTCTTTCTCCACTCTGCACATAAACGCGACAAGCATTCACAAACTATAGCCTGGACTCTGGAACATGTACTGGATTTGTTTCCCTCCACAACCGCCACAAACCCTTGTAATTGTGCTTGTTCGACATGGACCAGTCCAGGTCTGGGGCGCGTGACGCGTCCGAACAAACACCGAGTCTCTCGCAGGTTCACTGGTTCACGTCGCAGGTCTCAGAGAGTCTCAGGTCCGTCTCAGAGAGCCTCTCAGGTTCACAAGCTGACGGATACCTTTGACAAGGACGACAACAAAGCCATTGACTTGGAAGAACTCCAGGCCACCGAAGTTCCCGGGAATGGTGCGCCCAATTGGGGCGCCGTGCCGATTTCGGGAGATTCATTGGCGGCTTTGGGGGGCTGACACTGAAAATAGGCTTAATATGGTCCAAACAAAAAACAACATAGAAGTACAATTAGGCCATGTAAGGCTCCCAAATTTGGCGTCTTGATTCATGCAATTTGGCGTCCAACACCTCCAGTTCTCGGATGATGTTGACGGCAACGACCCACGGTGGGTCGTGATCTCCGGTCCGGGTTCACCCGAAGCCCAGTGCGGTCCAGTCCGATGTCCGCTCGAGGACATTTTGGAGTCCACCCACAAGGGCCCGGTGAAGAAGGAGGTCACCGACTGGGTCATGCGCGAGGCGGACGTGAGCCGCAACGGCACCTTGAGTGTCTTGGCGAAGGTGAAAGATGGGAGATGGGAGGTAGATGGAGGTAGCCTGAGCTGAAGTGCTATGGTAAGTGCCAAAAGAAGGGTAAGAGTTACAACGTGTGAAAACCTTTTGTGGAATAGCCTCACTCAAGCACAAACAACCTACAATTTGACCAAAGACTTCCGAGGTGGTTAGCATGCATACGGGGGGCACCCCCAGTCCCGCCGTTTCAGGTGTTAGACCTGCAGTCAAGATACCAACGGCAACTTTCCCCTTCCCATGCGAGGTAATGAATCTCCCTGCAACTGTTGTTTCAAACTACTAAGATCTATGTAGGAAATGTCGTGACTGTCGTGACTGACTGTTTGTCGTGACTATGCGGCTGACTGTATTTCCATGCCTTTTTGAAGAGATGCAAACTTTTCTCGAATCTCCGTGTCTCTGCAGATCTCCACCTTTGAATCACACGAACCACCAGCAAAGTGCGCTTGTTCTACATTTTCAGTTTGTTTTTCTGACAGCCGGCACCTTTCGGTATTTGGACATCTTTGCTTTCTGAAGCTCTTTTTCTTGAACGTTGCGATCGTTTTTCGGTCATGCGCTTCGCAACCTCCACTAGGAATTGCACCCCAGGAACTGTGATACGAACTTGGCCACACAAATAAATGCGCTTGGGTGTTAAAAGGCGCATACAGACCCTTCACCCTTCGACAGATCCCTTTGTTGCTCAGACCATTTGGAGCTCGCGCGGGCGTTGTTGGCTTTTGAACTCCTTTGCAAGGCGGGACAGCCTGTGGTGGCTGGGTGCAACGTAATGAGTGATAGACCGAAGAAAGAACGCCTGCACTGCATGAGATAGAGTGATAGAAACATATTATTATGCGTATTGTAGGACGTATTAATACGTAATATATATATATACTATATAATATAAATATACAATATTTAACTAACGCAGAAACCTACAACCACCCCAATGGTGTGCAATGTGCTTGTCTCCGAAAGTACTTTTCAAAGGGACTGGGATCCACAGGGTCAATCTGCTGATCGGAGCTGACCCTTTGAGCGCACCAGGCTGACCCCAGTGGTTCGCCGGTGAGGCGAAAACACCGAAGATCCCGAGACAATGTAAGACCAATGCATGGAATTGCATGGAGACATTCCTGAAATCATTATAACCTGATTTGTTGCTTTGCACCTCATCAGTGACTGCTGAGGTTCCAGTCACCGGCATCTCGTAAATAAATGAATAATTCTTAATATTATATATATATATAATATGTCATTCATCAATCTCGGAATCATTCAATTATGCCGCATAATGCCCAACTCTCTTCAAAGCTTCTTCAGAGAAACAGAGCTACACAGGCAGACGAGCCGTATCGAGCCGTTTGTGAACCACAACCGGCCGTGAACGAGCCGTGGAGCCTCCGTCAGCCAGGGGGAACCCCACATGCGCAAGGACTTGTCCGAAGGCGCCCGGTGGGTGCTTTTTACGCGTCGTGCGCCGGTCATGGGGTGGAGGAGTGGAGTGTCAGGGTCTTCGCAACACTTCCACAGGCCAGAACTATGAACCACAACGCAAAGATGTTGTCCTAGTGTGCCATAGAACATGGTACTGTATAGGAAAGGAGTTCAACTTGAACAGATGGAGTCAGATGGAGGGATATTCTTGTGATGGATTCCTGGATGGCACACCAGGTTCGATCTTGGGAGGGGAAGGAGTGACAAAGATAAAGACTTGGATTCAAGCCAAGAAGTTGGTCCGAGAGATGTCTTATGAAGATTCCCTTCCGCCCTCTTTGTCAATCACCATTGCCTAAATCATGCATTTCTTCATTATGTTTCAAGCGTGCGTGTGCCACAGTGGGGGCAGGGATGGAGTAAGGTTTTGCTTCTGGTCCATCATCCATATCTCATCAATATAATCAAGCGTCCCATCGAATTCATGGAGGAAGTTGAGATGTCGGTCACAAACCCAAAATCATGGCCAAGACTATCTTGTATATAGGTATACAGGTATACATACATGCATGCATACATAGATCAATGCACTCGGCTCACCAACATGGAAGTGGATGGCATGGCCCTGCAAAGATGACTCTCCTTTACCAACAGATGTTTTAACACATTGAGTCGGAGGGTATGTATCTTGCTATCATTTTGCGCTGTTTTGTAAATTCATCTAGAATCTAGATTCTTGGCACATCAACCTCATCAGGTCCTGCACGGACCAGGGTGCTGTACGGTGCTTGGGGGTATATTACCGACGTCACCGGGCAGCCCGGGCCGCAGGGATTCACGTGGACGATAGCCTGGAAAGACCGGCCAGAAGCAGGGCGTGTTTGATCTTGTGATTCCCACGGGTTTCACCCAGCGGGTGCGCGTGGCTCCGCGCCAGATCCCAGGTGTGTTTGGTCTTTCGATCGATGGCTGTTGTATTGTATGATTAGTGTTGACATGTTGTTCCAAAATCAAACGGTGAACCATATTATATACATCAATGCAATCAACGCAGGCCCATTTTCTTGGCATGCCAAGGGCATGGAACAAGGACTGGTAGACGCGGGCCCGCCTTGCGTCGTCATTGCAAATTGAGACCAGCATTGGATCCGAGACAACCGAGGTCAGGAGTGGCTCTTCAATTGACAGAGTACGCATGCGGCCTCTCTAGTCGGCTAGAACCAACGTCGAAGAACATTGAAGGACGATTTGGCCCTTAGATACATAGCGCGAGGAAACAGGTTCATCATCCACTCCGGCATACCATGCTAGTTCAGGGCCAGCATGTTGCAATCACTTTGGCGAGCAAGTTCCGTGGTCTCAATCTTTCTACATCACTTGATCGTGATCGGTCTTCTCACCCCGCTTGTACCATTTGCACCTATTGGCACCGGTTTGACTTCATGAGAAGCGGCCCCATGTGCGGACCATTTGTCGAGTTGCTATGACGGCTGTCATGGGTGGACATGCATTTTGAGATGATGTCTGCAAAATTGGGGCACCTGGGGCACCGTTTTTTGGAAGCCCGATGGTTGCTTTTCTTGGACTGCCTTTCACATCAAACCGCCTGCCTTGTTGGGCCCAAGACGAGCCCCTCCAGCGCTTGGGGAGTGAGACTGAGTGATCCACCCTGTGGGCAGTTTTCAGGCTTTCAGAGAAAATATGTAAGAGAGCCGCCAGAGAGCCTATATGGGAAGAAACTACTGTAGACTGAGTCCTGGCGACTAAAATCTCTAGTTGTAAATGTTGTAGATCTCCAGGATGAACGGTTTTCTCCAAGGACCTCCGCCTTAGATCCATGGTGGCTGGGGATGTTCTGGCGTATTTATTTTTCGGTTCCCTGCGGTTCCCTGGGCGACTCCAGCAAATCACTCCTGGGAGACGTTGCCTCCATAGCGGCATCATGCCACATGGCCCAGACAAGGGCCCTCCACAGACGCTCGACCCAGCAGGTGCACACCATCGGTCGACCCAGCTAGACCCAGGTGGCCCAGGCTTTTGTCGGGGAGGGTCACTTTAGACGGAGTGGTCTATCAAAGTCTACCAACATTTGGGACATTAAATTGCATGAATAAGCCTGTCAAAGCAACACGCTTCTCGGGAGATTCGAGCCCAAACTGCAGCTCAGTCCACTCTCCAACTTGCTGAGATTCAGCATCAACAGATGCTTCACAAATCAGGTAGGTTGCTTTTAATGGACGAGTTTGGCGACGGATCAGCTTGGTAGTCCAGGAGGGCAACTAATCCATGCCTTGGTAATATCTAGAGATACAATCCTGACAAGCCATCTGGCACCCAAAGCCCCAAGCATGTGAAGAGACTGCCATGGCACATGTCAAATGCAAGTTTTTGTTCTCAAGCGAGAGAGCTGAAAGGGACAGAAAGAGCCCCAAAGACACCGAAACACCTTGCTGCCAGCGTGGAAAAGTGCACCATTTTCGCTTTCTGACGCTTCGTCGAAGCACAAGGGTTTGGAATTGGGATCGTATTGCCTTGAGGCTTCAGCCCTCTTCTTCTGCAAAAGAAGTTGCTGTGAGCTTTGCATATACACGGACATTACATGGTTGAATTCGCTCGGCTTGCTCCAAGAGCTTTGGGCCCAGTAGCTTGCAGGATGGCGAAAGTGGGGAGAGGCCGTGGGGCACTGCCGGGCACAGCTTCCAGGTACAGCTTCCAGGTGAGATTTGATCAACGAATCAACCGAATCTACTTGTGCTGCCCGGGCAGCTGTGCAATCAACTTGTGCGGCCTCGGCCGACCACCGTCCGAACCGCTCAATTGGTCAAAGTGCCGTGTAATCGCCCGAGGTCCTGTACATTGACGGCAGCGTTTGTTTGGGTGAAGAATGGTGAGGATTTCATGTGGGGCTACGTTGAGATCATGTTGTACACAGTACACATGACTGCCAGAAAGAATACAGCATAGAAAAACGATAAAAAACGCATGGTGAAATATGGTGAACCCACAGAGCCTCACAGCCCCATCTCTGTCGGACTGGAATGCAAGGTTATCAGCAGCAGTTTTGCGAAACCCATTAATGATAATGAAAAACACGACTGCACAAGGAGGTGTGGCAGCTCAATGAAGGCAGGCCACGTTTTGCATAGGGATTGTTTCAGTTTGTTGCACAACTGCTCCTTCAGCAAAATTAAAATTATATAATGAAGTAGCAGCTCACCTCCGACCAAGTGAGCGCAAGTTTTCACCAGTGGAATCCACTGGTGCCTCCAACTGCAGTGCAGGCTACGGAAAGTCATGGGCATCAAACAACTGGGCAAATTTCTCAAAAGTGCCTTGACCAAAAGCACATTTCAGGCCGTTGCTTGATCTTGTGGGAGCACAGTCCAAACCAAACTACAACTTAGAAGCTGGAGCTTGCAAGGCTCCAATCTCGGAAAGTGTATGAGGCAAAGGCCGTTTCAGATTGAAGGATTCCAGATGCCACTTTCGAAATTCATGCCGTCATAAGCCTTCGCACATTCTCTAAACCATTTTGACGCACACAAGTCATCTAAGGGTGACTGACTGGGGACAACTAAAAGCCATATGAACCTTCTCCTCATAGTCGGGCCCCAACTAAGCTGTTCGGCGGGCCCACCAAAAATTCCGGGCTGTTGGAGCCATCTCAGGCAGCTGCCCCAGCGCCATGAACTCTCACTCGCCGGCAGCAGAGTACAAGGACGCGTTGGCCCTGCGCCGCAGTGTTCCTGTTTGCCAACAAAAGCACCCCAAAGCTTTTCAATGTTCCTCGTGAATGAACAATAACAAGAACAAGCAAAAACGAATTCAGATACCTTCATATCCCACAGGGCTGTGAGGTAGGGTAGCCAGACGGCCAGACTCTTTCGGACTTTGCCCAGAGAGACAGACAGAGAGAGAGAGAGGGCCTATTCTCACACAAGCATTGGGGGCCTCAGACTTTAAGCGTAAGACTTGGTTTGCCTTGGCGGGCTCCCATTGCCACTCAACACCCAATCACTCGTCAGACCGCATGAGGATCAGACTGTGGCCATCGATGTCAGCTGTTGCTTGTACCAATGCATTACTGACACTTTGGCTGCAGTTGGTTGTGTCATTGATTCCCCAATCTTCTTTTGTTGCCTTCTTTTTTAATACCTTTTTTGTCGGTCAATCGACGGTTGGGGGATGCCTGGTCTGCCTTGTGCCGTTTCCACCTTGTTGCTTCTGCTCTTGCACGATTTATGCCCATCTGTGTTCCACTCTCTTGAAAAGAGATGGAGCATTCACATCAAAATGAAGGCTTGAGCCGTTGGCAAACCACCTCATCCTTTGACTTTACACTCGCCTTACTCCTTGTGCACCTTGAATGCACCAACGACCAGAAGAATCGAAAAGACCTTCAGATACAAGGAGGGGACTGCCCCTTCTTAATAAGGGGCGGCCCCATAGGTCCTTGTGCCCTTGTTGCCCAGATGATGACTATTGCTAGATCTTCTGAGTCCTTCCTCATCGAGCTGTAGTGGCAGCAAATCCCACAAAACAGTGTCGAAACTCCGAGGCCATGGGGGACACTCCACGCGGCGTTCAGCCGGGGAGTGAGCTGGACACCAGCCATATTGCCGGGCTGCTCCGGCGAAGCATCAGGCAGGGAAGACCTGCGTGGCCAAGGGAGACGTTGGAGGAGATGGCCGATGGCCTGTTGCCAGTGATAGCTACAATTTCAGTTGCAGATAGTTGCAGCTTATAGGGTGATCGCCGATCGCGCTGAAGTCAGCGGTCTATTGTGCCGCAAAGGATCGCAAAGGTACGTAATATGCAGCAAGTCACGCGGCATGTATATATATATGTATATACAGTATATAAATAAATATGGATACTTCAAATCACTCATGGTTTGAATAGTAATAAATATGATGAAACACTGCCAGGCTCAGAAAAAGAGAGAGAGAGAGAGAGCGATGCATTTCGGCTGACCTGATGCCTATAGCAGTCACAGACCGACAGGCTGTTGGAGTTGGGCATCAAGCCAATCTTTATTTTTGATGGCTTCTTGGATCGCAAGATGTTGAAGACCAGAAACCAGACAACTTGGATCGCAAGTTGGAGCACCAGCGGGTGAAAGCCATTGTTGATCCTGCTTGATCGACCATTGCGGGTGGATTATATAGTCTAAAAATGTCTAAAATCATTTCATACTCTCCTTCGTGGCGGGGGACATGCTCAGGGCCAGCCCATAGTAATTTATAGATATTTTTCTATAATAATTAACTCATTAATATCAGCCTAGGAAGAATTCGAAAACACCTAGAACACCAGTTGAAAGGGAAACATAGCGCCAAACAGTCAAATTAAATGGGGGCCCAAAAGAACAATGCTTTTGCTGAGCTCAAAATCAGAAGCAGCATATTTCTCAAACAAGTGCAAATCTTGTAGAATTCTCGGGGGAAACAACGAAAACAATGGAAAACATAGGAACACAATAGGAACAACAAATAGATGAAAAATCCGAAACACAGTAGGAACAAATAGGAAATAAATACGCCCGTTTCCCTCTTTCTATTTTTGTTTGTCAGATTCTTTGATGACTTTTACTATTTTACTTTTTGTTTCTCTGAGTCTATGAGTTTCATTTGTTGCCTACTGTATGTTTATTGTATTTTTCGATCATTTTCCAAAGTTTATCATCATTTCGCAATTTACAATCCCAAGCTCATTTAGATCAACACGATGCTGATCGTTTGGCGTCTATGCCGAGTAGAATGACACAAGAACGATTCAATTTGAACTTACTGTATGATGTTTAATGGCATCTCATTCTGAGAGCACACCAAGACCAAAAATACCTGGCACAGTTTGCCCTTTGGATCACTGGGATTCAGTGGTTCCTACCCAGTGATTCTGCCGTCTCTTCCACGAGGCGAAGCCCCTATGATGAAGAGCCATGTGGAGATCTCAGGGGGCCGACGCGACGCGAAAGCTTTCTGGAGATTTTATGGTGATATGGTGGATTCTGATTCTGTGTAATCTACGAGCACATACATACATACATACATACATACATACATACCAAAAAAACATACATACATACACAAATAAGTGTATATATATATATGTATATTTATTTACATATTTGCACACAGAGTTGGAGGTCAAAAATGCACAATTAGAGCTACCAGCAATGTGAGAAGAGAGGAACCGTTTTATTCGTCATGTCATATCGCCTTTATAAGTTCTATGACGCTCTATGAAGACAGGTGCTTTCTCAATCTTTCTCCATGTGTGTTTGCATCTTTATGAGTAATTCAGGACTATGCATCCACTCTTTTCAGTTTTCTCTGTCTATCTTTGGGGGGAGTCACCCGGCTTGGGCACCCAGCTAGCTTGCTCCTGCGGTTTCAACTGAGCGCTGAGATGCGCTGTTTCGTCGATGTTTTGTTGCAAACAGAGTCTTATTGTTCTTTTGCATTGCAAGACCTATTGACTTTAGGTTTCAATGCACATACAGTAGACATACAGTAGATTCCTTGGAGTGCAGGACAGCCAGTCGGGAGGATGCGCACCGAGCCGCTTCTTTCCTTTGGCTGCGGTGGGTCGAGGTGCTCCAGCAGCGGGAGAAGAATCGCGCCAAGTCCAGAGAGCTTCTGGAAGAGGTGTGGCTCCTGAGATGTTGAAAAAGGGCAGAAGGTGTTTATTGAGTCAGGTGTATGCCTAAGAGCCTAAGAGACCACTTGGGCCACGAATCGTCGTGTTGGGCTTCCTATGTCTTCCTGGTTTTCACTTTCTGGGCGCGTCCATGTTGGTGTTTGACTGGACGTGGAAGAAGACCTTTGGTGCTGCCCTCATCACTTCACACAAGCCTCTAGCTCATTGGATTAAATTATAGTCACGACTGGTCGTTGGCTCAAGCAACTCCAAACTGAAAAGCACGTGCACCGGGTTCCCCAAACAGTCTGGCTTGGCAAAGGTAAACAACCAATTCCAACTTCTTGTTTGGGCTTCCGGCCATGGATCCTGCCCCACAATATGCAACTAACCAAGACGTTGTTTTGACTTCACCCACTTGTTTGTCTCAAGGTAGGTTTGCTGCGACAAATGGATGACACGTTGAGCTTTCGTCGCAATATTTCTCATCAAACGCATGTTGATTGTATAATTCCTTTTGATTTTTGGCACAAGAAAACACGGGATGGCAGGATTCCACAATAGTCGACAAATCCCTAAACTCTAGGACTCTAGGCCTTAGGCAGGCAGTCGGCCAGAATCTACTATTCTGATATTCTTGCCTTGTCGCTCCACATAAGCCGTTCCCCTCCAGCTCACCTCACCATACTTCACCCTTGGTTTGATCCATTCTCTCTTTTTTTCTGTCTCTTGAACCTTTCCTAGGCCCAGGCGATGGGCGATCAAGAAGCCATGAAACGCTATGGCGCCAGGCCTAACTGTTAACTCATCAGATTGCTGGAGGATATTTGGTGGAGAAACACACTCTTCCTCGTCACTGGCAAGTCCTTATTAAATTCATTCCCCATGGAGGAAGAATAGCCGAGGTTCAGTTGGATATGCTATCATAGTATGTAGCCTTTTGCAATGCCCCTGATCAGTTCCAAGTCATTAGGTGTATGGAATGTGTGAAAACAAACTGTGACTCCCAAAGAAACCATGCAGGCTTAGTTATGGCCATGGCCTTATTCCGATTGGTTGTCTCGAATGAAGGGACCCCTTGGGTGTCGAGAAGTTGAATGGACTCAGACAATCCCACAACACCTTGCACAAAACACACAGGACCATACAGGACTGTAGAGGAAAACTGAAGGAACTCCTGTTTGAAAATTGAACATTGAATGGACGTGTTAAATGAGTTTTTTGGAACAAAAAGCCCGCTCCGGTTGGGTCGAATTTGTGGAGGGATTTGACACCGACCTGTTCAGAGCCTGGAAGAAAAACACGGTTTCGACCCAGCATTGTTGGGTCTCCAAACGTCTTCTGAACTGAGTCAATTATGTTGAAGTAGGAAGCGTTTTGCTACGTGTCCTGACTTAATGTCAACTTGTTGATTAACAGTTTTGATATTTTGTGGATTCCGAAGAAACTGAAACCATATCGTATGTATATACATCGAAGCCTTGGCTGGAGCAGTGCCGACCTTGCAGCCATGCCGTCGAAGATCGTCGAAGCATTTGGATGAGGGGCAGGAGACGCCCAGACTCAGACCCGGACACGTTGTCCACGTTCAATCCGAATTCATTGATACCTTCATCGAAAGAAATTGACCCATGGTGTGTGGGCCCTGCTGGCCAAACGGTCGTTCCCGGCCCTCGTCCGAACGCTGGTGATTTGGTGAGAAGCACCCCAACCCAAAGGCTTGGCTCATGGACCCCGACCGAGGAGGCTACCCAGTCAAGTCACCCCTGTTCTTTTTGGTACGGATTAATTAACTAGGAGGCACGTGGAAGTGTTCAACCAGCTGGCATAGCTGAGCTGCAGACATCCAATCCAATCAAGTTCAGAGTATTTTTGGAGAATCCTGCGCTACCTGCTTTGGTACACGACGAGGCTCAGATATCAAGCCGACCATGCACTGGTTGCTCTTTTAGTGACCTACGAAATGGCTTTGGCTCTGGCAATTTTTTATTGGTTGGCTGTTTCTGGGCTCAACACAATAAGAGCTCAACACAATAAGACCCAAACGCTTGGGTGAACATTTGCCGACCTCGATGTTCTGGCTCGGGCGGCTAGATGGCCGAGTCAGAAAGCCAAATGCACAGTTTGGGCACCCAACTGGTTCCCTTTGGTTCCCTCATATCATGGTTGATGAGCAATTCACCGATACGCACTGACACCCGGTACGCAATGATGGCCGTTTTCCTGCCAGGATTTGGTGCATCGTTGGTTCCACGCTCTCCTTGCTGCTGTTGGGACTTGCCTTGCAGTGGGAGTTCCTGGGGCCCCTACTGCTCTCCAGCTTTTCGGAGCGGAGCGAACAACCCGCGCTGACAGAGGTGATCTCGCGGCTGGACGCCCTTGAACGGAACGTGCCCGAGCCGGGGTTTTCACCGCGCGTTCCGTTCCGCGGGGGTTGATCAGGGCATCTCCGGGCGGCGAATTCCCCCTTCATCGTCCACCACGTCCATGGTTCGGTCCGAAAATGCCAAGAATCACTGACCTGCAGGGGGGCCTCAGACAAAAGATCCTTCACCACTTAGCAATTGAATGTACAGTCCGGTTCTGATGTTCTGCTTAAAAACCAGTCCTGGGACATCGGTGAAGATGGGCGAACAGTGTTCAGATGGCTGAACTTGGAACAGTGCATCAATACCGTTTGGGTGAGTTGACGGTTCGTGTCACCTCGAGCTCATCCAGCAATGTTCACACACTCTGGGTCCTATTAAAGCTTGCACGTTTTAAACGAGGATTTTGCACGTCTTCCACGTTCCAATTGGTATGTTGGGTCTTGGAGTCTTGGGAGAGCTCTTGGCAGAACCGTGGGACGCGATTTCGGCATCTCTGAGGTCTTGGAACTGCAAGAAGGGCTAACGATTCTGCGAGAAAAACTCATTTTGGACAAGTCGGTCAAGAAGAAACCCCCTGGATGGTTCAAGCGTCGTCCTGGCCCAAATCGCACTGGTGATCGCATGGGCAAGCGTAAAACCATGTCTCCGGAATGCATCTTGACATAATATCATCTTGACCTGCCAATTTGAAAAGTTAAGATTGGCAAAGTTGAGACATTTCAAGTTGACAATGAAGCCTTGAGTGCTTTGGCTATTGTTCGAGGGTGAGACTAGAACTGATCAAGTTCTTTGACAAAGCAGTCCCCTTTGAGTAGATAACTAGGAACCAGCCACCTCGTGGGACTGCAATAGGACACACACATATGGACTGCGCTCAAAAAGCCCTACTCTAAACATATAGATAAGCGTAAACTTTTAAGGTTGGAGATGTGTTTTGAAGTCTTCGTTTAGAAGCGGGCCCCCGGTGATACAGCAAGGCAGCGCTAGATTGGCGCTAGGTTGGCGCTAGATTTCTTCATAACAGGATAAGCAAGCAGGAAAAAGAAACGAGCAGAGAGCAGGAAAAAGAAGAAGCAAGACTAAGACAAGAACAATAAAAAAGAAGAAGAAGAATGCACAACAAGAAGAAGAAGAAGACAAGCAAGCAGGACAAATAAGAATCTGACAGGATATAGAAATCGACGGAGATTTTTGCGCGCTAGGCTGGCGCTAGATCCGCGCTAGCACCGCGCTAGACGACGGTCCATTTCTTGACCAGTTGCCCATCCAACATCCAAATCTTTTGAGTCAGCTCTTACATCCTTCCTACATCGTCCTGAAGATTTCTTGAGAACAAAGTGGGAAAGTCCAGCAGCAGCAGTAGCAGCAACAACAGCTCCAGCAGCTCAACAGGCCCCTGAAAAGGTCCGCGCTAGACACCTCTCACAGTTTTTGCAGTTGACACGCCTTCATGTTTAACGTCCCTGTGGTTTGAGTGTGCTTGGAGTTTAAAGGAGACTTAGAAGCGGGCCCCCATGGAATTGCGATGAGTGCACCACTTTGGGAAAAGACATTTTGGAAACAAACCGTATATTAATATATATATATATATAGTCACACACACACTTATATATATATATATATACTAGTTACCTCAATTATAGAAGAAATTGAGGGTATATATCTTCTATTTGAAATGCATTTGGGAGGGTGCCATCCGTACCATTCAAATAGAAGATCCCATTAATTATTTGATCAAAATGATCATGGTCTTTTGAGCTACTTTTGCGTTTTGGACTTTCTGCTCAAAAATATTTATCTTCTATTTGAATGGGCACCCCCAACTCTGCATCTTCTATTTGAATTAATTCCCGAATATCTTCTATCTTTGAGGTAAACAGTATATATATATATATATATGTATACGCAGTTTGGAGAATTCTGCCTAAAACGGAAGAGAACATGTTCAGCAGCTTCAATTCAAGCTAGCTTTGGAAGCACTTCGGCATTCCTGTTTGAGGCGCTCAGTTCTACACGTCCCTTCTTCCAGTGACTCGGTGGTTCTTCCAGCCGACGCTGAGTGAACAGAAGCACACCAAGCTATCCAAGCCCAAAGAACATTGCCATACCATACCCAAACACACTCAGTAAAAATTTCATATTGTTGGGGTGCTTTCAGATGGTTGAAAAGAGGTCAACCTAGGCATGTACTCCAGTCTCATTCGCGCCTGGGTTGTCTTCAGCCATCATATGCCATAATCACCCGTATCCTCAGCGCTGTTTGACACACTTTGAGGTTTCCATCACTCATCCGCGGTCAGCCAGCCATCATGCTTTAATTATGATTGATGATATTTGATCTGTTTTGCTTGTTTTTCGAGGCCTTTGAGTGTTTGTATCCCTACACGTTTCTCTCAATGAACATGGCAGTAAGGTGACGGATGGCAGAAATACTACTTGCCGGCGCTTTCACTTCGTGCATGTGGGCAAGAATGGCGGCACCGCGCTCGAAAGCTGGCTGACTGAAAACCACTTGGAATGTCTCATTGCCCCGATCTCCTTCGGACACGTAGATATGGAAGTGGTGCCCCATTTGCACATCGAACACGGGTTTCGTGGAGTCGTTTGATAGGGGGAACCAGGCCATCGGCGCGCCAAGGCGTTTCCCAAACGCATGCGCGGGACCTGCTACTTGACCTTCGTGCGAGATCCAGTGGCATCTTGGTGAAGTTGGGTCGGGGGTCAACTCTGGAGGAAGCCTGAGTCTGAGGGGCCAAGGATCACCTTGCGTAGGTTGTCTTTGCTTATCCCAACATGAGGAATAGAAGGGGATTCTATACTGGCTGCTTTTCTAGAATCTAGAATGGTCTAGGGTTGGATGGACAATCGGGAAAAACATGGGCCCTCCCGTCGTAAATTATTCCAGGGTAGGGGTCACCCACAGGAATAATTTTTCAGAATCAATTTTTAGGAATATTAAAACCACCATGTTGAAGTTGAGGTGGGTGGATGGTACCCTGGAATAATATGGTCGGGATAGACTTTCAAGGCGTGATAAAGGAATGATGTCACGACTTCAAAAAGCCACATCACATGCTTGCATTTGCAGCTGGCTCAAAATCCAAAAACGATCACAATCATGGGGGAGCAGGAAAGGTGTCACAAGGATCCTTGTGACGCCTTTCGTTCTTAAACCTTCAACCTCTCTTGCCAGAAAAGAGAGCTGTCAGATGTGTGGAACTGTGAAAAACGTCCATTGCGTAGGGGTGATCACATCAAAGCCGCCCTAGACTTAAATCTGCTGTCTAGAAGCCTGTGACTTGCAGGACGGCGAGTTCACGCCAGAAGGAAGCCAGACCCAGAAACCAAACTTGGGAACTGTCAGATCAGGGCTCCTAGGTCATACGCGCCCCAGCCACATCTTTCTTGTGGAATCTGAAGCTGTGAGATGTGTGACCTGAAGCTGTAGATTGTGTAAGTAAGATATGCGCCCCAAAATGGCAAGTTTGCCTCCTGTTGTATGTCTCTGCTCAGTAGACAGCTAATTGCTAAATTATTCCAGGGTCTATCACATCAAACCCACCCCTGGGATTATTTTAGTCAAGGAAAGAAACCACACCAAATTCGGCATTAAATTCCTGAACTGGTCTCGCCAAAACTCGGGAGTAGACCCCAGACCAGGGAATAAGAAACTGTCAGGTCACAGGTCCTGGGTCATAGGCGCCCTAAAAAACACCGTGGTTGTGGATTCTGAGGCTGTGAGATGATGTGAGATGTGTGACCTGAAGCTGCAGATTTGTGGAAGCTCTAAGATTTGTGCCCCAACGCGGCAAGTTTGCCTTCTAGACAGCTAACTGCTAAACTATTCCAGGGTCGATCACATCAAACCCACCGCTGGGATTATTTTTGTCGTTGGTGGCTCTCATTGCTTGCTGTGTGGACTGAAATAATTCCAGGGGTGGGCTTGATGTGATAGACCCTGAAATAAATTAGCAGTTGGCTATCCACTGTCTCACAGCTTCAGAGTCCACAAGAAAGATGTGGCTGGGGCGCCTATGGCCTAGGAGCCCTGATCTGACAGTTCCCAAATTTGGTTTCTGGGTCTGGCTTCTGGCGTGAACTCGCCGTCCTGGAAGTCACAGGCTTCTAGACAGCAGATTTAAGTCTAGGGCGGATTTGATGCGATCACCCCTACGCAATGGACGTTTTTCACAGTTCCACAGATCTGACAGCTCTCTTTTCTCGTGAGACCAGTTTCGGAGTCCACAGCAAAGATTTGGTTGGGTCGCCTATGGCCTGGCACCCCTGATCTGTCGGTTCCTGCTCTGTGTCTACTCCCAAGTTTGGTTTCTGGGTCTGGCTTCTGGCGTGGGCTCGCCGTCCTGGAAGTCACGTGGGGAGTTGCTGATCTGAAAAGTTCAGCCGTTTTGCCGCGTGTTGGATCACTTGATGCGACTGGAAACAACGAGGAATCAAAACGCAGAAGGTCACTGTAGTGAAACAGAACCTGTGTTTTGGAACGCGTGTAGGATCACTTTTGGACTGCAAGGCAGACATGGCTGTAAAGTGCTGTAAATTATTTTTGAAAGGTGTTCACATATGGATTTTTGGCCAGGTGTAGGTCCACCACCACTGAATAACTAAAATATTATTCTGGGGCCCCATCCAACCCAGGGCCCCAGATGGGAGGCCCCATGAAAAAAAGGCAGCTGTTTGGCATGGCTTGAAGAAAAAACAATACCGGCTCAGGTGTAGATAAATCCTTCCCCCGGTCCTTAGATCGTCATATATCGCCCCCGTGCAAAAAAATGGTGGGTTTCCCATTCAGGAGCGCTACGTGTCGGGTTTCCTGAGCCGCTGGCGGGAAGGCTGTCCTGCACATTGCACGCCTTGGACCCGGGCAGAGGATCCTTGGGTTTTCTGTTCGGCAGAAGGTGCCTGAAAGGAGGGTGTGTGTTTCACGGGTGTCAAGAATAGTTGTCCTTGTGCAAGGCCAATCCCAACAGACTTCGCCATGTCATGGAAGTTTTTGTGAAAACCAATGGATGACAAATTCATACATTTGACTTCATTGCGCTGGCTGCTCATGTTTCGCATTAATTTGATCTGGTTTTCTTCCAACAATTTTTTTCGACCAAAGTATGCCTTGATCATACCAAAGCGCGTGAGGTGCGAGGTCGTGAGGTCCGATCGAACCACCCCGCTGGCCAGCGGGGATCGATGAAGATGAGTAAACATGATTCCGAATTCGTTCGTGTAACCGTTCTGGTTTGCTTATGCCTACTGTCCTCGTCGTTTTCTAGAGTGCATATCTTCATTTATGTGTTTCCTGTGTCTGTGTGTTTCTGTTGTTTTGCTCTTGGTCGCTTTTCCGCTCTTTGCTCCTGAACATGTTTTGTGGGCTTGCAATTGATGATGCAAGTCATTCCTGCGTTGCAATGTGCTCCATTTTCCTGTCTATATTATAAGGAAGTGTTTGCGCACTTTCTTCCAATTCTGTTGCTTTGCTAACTTGGTGCTTTACTTTGCCAATCTACTCATTTCGGAGCTTTGGTCACCATTCCTTTGGGCAGTAAAGATGACAACATGAACCTGGAAATGCACCGGTACAGGGAAAGAGCCACGACAAGACGCCAATCCGAACCATGCGTGGGGTGCCTTTTTCTCCACCACACCAAATTTGGCTTTGCGCATGACCCATGTCATGTCAGCGAATAAAATATCTTCCCTTGAGTGGTTTTTGAGTTTCGAAGGTTTTTGCCCATTCTTGGGACGTTGGATCACCAAACAAACTGTACGACTACTTGACTTTTGTTTACTTGAGTTTCTTCAAACTTCAGTCTTGAGAGGTTAGGACACTTCAGTCTCGCTCCTGCTTGTAGCCAGGAGCGGGTCTTCCAGCATCTTGCCTGTAAATTAGATAGGACACCGGTCCACCACTCCCATGTCAAGCCTCAGCTCACATTGGTTTTAAAGTCTTACACATGGCAAAGAGTTATGGAGATGTGGTTGCTGTTCGAAGGCAGCCAGTCGCGTGAAGGGAGACTCTGTCAGAGACTGTTGAGATGTGCAGGAATGCAGAATGCTGGATTAATTATGCTGGTTGAGATGTGTCGAGATGATGTTCAGGCCAAGAGGAAACCGTGCTAGGCTATAGGCATGCACATACAGCACACTCATATTGTACACCCACCCCTGCACTTGTTGCTCGCCGTCGCCAGTTCCATTGGCCAATAAAGGGGCGCTAAGTTGTGCAGTCTTTCAATGAAGAGAAAGGGGAAAATGGCCTCAAAACTCAAACACAGAGCCGTTACGTGCCGTTCCCTACATAGTATCTACTGACATCAACTGCCATATTTGTTCGAGATTTGTGCTTTTGGCATGAATTGAAATCCGGCCGTTCAGGTTAATATACTGCTTAAATGCTAAGCCACATTTCAATGACCTGAAGCACTGGCACGTGAAACTAGGGGACAGCAAATTTGAATAAGGCAGCGCAAACTATATACTGTAATAGATGACATGATGGCAGTGCTATGAAAGGAAGTGTTCCTGTAAAGGAGAGGACTAGAAGTAGTGGAAGGACGCATATGATCACACACACACACTCTCTTTTTAAGCAGCCACTCCAAGAAAACTGACGAATCCGGCCGTAGGATTCGTGAGGTGCGAAAGCAATCGATTTTCCCAAGGGGCATTAATATATGCATCCAGCGTGTGATTGGGGGGCCGGATGTATTTATATAGTTATATATGACATATAGGTATCTTACTACGGAACGTTGCAGGGAAGACCCTTCATGGGCTGGCTGACAGCATGACCCATCATTTCCGTTTTCTTGCGATGTTTCTTTGGCAGCACTTTGTTCGGGTGATGTAGCTGGCCTTTCGCAAGGATGTTTCAGACACCGAACGACTTGGCAGAAGCATTCTCGAGTGATGATCCACTACTTCAGAAGGAGGCCAATATGGCGCACGCGACCATCTTCCATCTCTATCGCGGATTTGCCAGCTACTTTCCCTATGGTAAGCTGCTTGGAGCCTATAGTTATTATATAAATAGTTTTTCAAGGGTGGGCAGAGCCCACAGCTAAGCCTGTTGTTTCCGCTGTGCATGCCTTTAGTTTGATGTCATTCGCATCACGAAGGCCTTTTAGGATCTCAGGTGTTGCAGGGGCGGTGCCCTGCCGAGCGGTTCTCAGGACGATGATGCCCTACGTGATTTATGCGGGGCTCACTTGCCATATGGACACAGATGCCGTGCAGCTTCTGAGAGCCATGGGTCTTCCCAAAGAGAGACTTGGAATTCGTCCATCGGAGATCACCTTACTGTCTTGTCTGTGTTTGGGGTTTTGTAAGCAGTCCGACGATGGATGTGATCACCTGGCGCCCTTTCTACAGCTGAATGGTTGCTTTGTAACATTACATACATACATCCATCCATACATACATCATCATACATCCATACATGCATACATGCATACAGACATACATGCATACAGACATACATACAGACATACAGACATACATACATGAAACCTACAGAGAATGGTTGGCCAAAGCAAGTCTCAAAGGACATAGAGGACTTTTCAGAAGTCTGAAGCAGGACAAGCAACCTTTCCTGCGACCATACCAGCAGCTGCCACGAGAAGAACGCATGGCCAAAAGAATGCAGCAATGGGGAGACATATGGGGCAAGAGGGATGAACACCACAAAGTCACTTCACTACCAGCCATGATTGCAAACGGACGATCGCATGCTCAGCAGATGAGTCCCATCACTGAAAAACAAGTTTGGCGCATCATCAAACTCTTGTCCAACAAAGCACCTGGGCTAGATGGCATTGGCTTTGACTTCTTGAAGGCCCTGCCCCACACGGCAATGAAGGACATTGTAGGGTACTACCACCAGGTAGAGGAGCAGGGACATGTACCACATCAATGGTTGGCATCACTCATTGCCATGCTGCCTAAGCCGACAGAGATCGAAAGGCCCATAGCATTGGCCGCCACGCTCTACAGGCTATGGTGCAGAGTTCGAAACCAATACACCAAGGAGTGGCAGCACCAACTAGAAGATGAATTTCATTGGGAACGAGCTGTTCCGGGAACAGAGTGCTTGCAAGTAGCACTCAAGCGGCCCTTCCTCACGGAACATCAAGCTTTGAAGAAGACTGTCATCTCGGTGCTGCTGGACATGTCAAACTTCTATGACAGGATCAACCTGCAAAAGTTGGCAGAAAGATGGTTGAGCTCCAACTATTACCCGGGCACACATGCATCCTTTGCTATGCAGATCTACTGTGGCACACGGATCTTGGAGGCGCAGGGAGAAGCGTCAGGCTCAAAGCCTTCTGCAAAAAGTATCCTTTCCTTCACGTTGACCTCTGGATAGACGACCTGAGTTTCGATGTCATAGAACGGGATCCACAGAATGCAGTCCGGATAGCAATCCAGGCCTACACCTTCATCAAGGAGCGCCTAGAGGAGGACGACCTCAAGATCTCAGAGAAGAAGACGGGGCTCGTTGCCTCGAATGTCGCTGTCGAGGCCAAGAGGCTACTTCAGCAACAACTCCCACCAGGTGGCCCCACCGTGCACGACATAATGCGTGATTTGGGAGTGGACTGCGCAGCAGGCCGTTTGAGGAGGATCAAAACGATGAAGCAAAGGCGCAAGAAAGCAGGAAACAAGAACAGGAAACTGCTCACTTCGAACTCAAGTTGTGCAAGGGCAGCATTCAGGCTGGCATTAGTTGGGGACACCAGGCCACGGGACTGGCTCCACAAGTCAGGCTCAAGCTCAAGGCAGCAATGGCACGCCAGATGGGATTGCAACGGGCAGGAAACATGGACATCCTGTACGACATGCACCCAAGACACAAAGATCCGGCCTATGAAGCCTTTGTCTCACAGGTGAAGGTCTACCACAAGTTCTTTGGGAACTGGCCGGAACATCTCCATCAAGACATGGCAAAGGCATGGAAGGTCACCAAGGAGAGACTACAGAATGCCAAATATCCCTGGCAAGTAGCACGTGGACCTGTTGCAGCCTTGCTTTGCTACCTTCATGACCATGGTTGGCAAACAGACCTATATGACCTATGGACGAAGCCGGGAAGCAATGGGGAAGACGACTATACCCTCAACATGATATCCAGTTGGCATTACCTCAAAGAGGAGCTAGCCAGGGCACAAGTTCGAGAACGAATACAAAGCATCCAGAAGAGACAGGTGCTACAAGAGGTTGAGCAACCACTGGATTGGCTGTCTTGGCGGAGATTCGACAAGCAATCCAACAGCAAAGTCAAGACAGCGCTGCAGACCTGGCGTCAAGGGGCCATTTTCACCAAGACCTGAGAAGGCCAAGAGGGCAAGCATTTGCAATGTCCTCACTGCAGGAAACGGGCAGATGCCCTTCACCTCCTATGGCAATGCAGAGACCAACAGGCATTTCTCGCCATTGCCAAGTGAAGCCCACGCGGAATTGGAACAGGGCATAAACCTTGAATTCTGGTCACAAGGTCTTCTACAGCCTGCGTATCAGATCTCCACAGGGGGCGCGGCTTTGCAGGCTTGGGGATCATGGACAGGGCTGGATGAGATCACCCTCCAACCCCATGATGCCGTGACCATAGGGATCGCCAACGCGAGCAAGGACAGCAGACTACGACACTATGTGGTCACCATCCTACATCACATGGTGAAATGTACCGCATGGGGGCCATCAGCACAGTGCTTCCAGGCCGCCAAACCCTGGAGAGGGCATGGTACTATGGGCTCCGCATGACAGCGCACTACGTGGATCTGCAAACCCAGTCAGAGTGCACGTACTATCAGTGAAAGCATGGCAAGCCTGGGTCAAAGCGAAGCACTATGACACCTTCCACGACCTTGCCAACCTGGTGACATGGGACCAACGACAAAGAGTCCGGGCCCTGAGTGTGACTCAGCAGCAAATCAAAAGCATGCCTACCACAGGGCTCTCATTGCGGAACCGGTACAAAGACGCCAACAGAGCTGCCACAGAGTTTCTCTAGTTTGCGCTGTCCATACAGCCGCATGACGTGGAACAAGAATTTCAAGAACAGGATCAGCGGTACAAACAGTATGCACCGATGGCAGCAGAAAGGGTACGCTTTCTCTTCGAAGCCCAGGACCACTTCATGCACGGACACAAAGCCAGTGGAAAAGAACTCCGGCAAAAGGCCAGAGACGACAAGAAAGCCCTGTACCTTGAAATTGGGGTCACAGGGAAAGAAGGAGGCCATCAATGGGCTCCAAAAGGGCGCGGGCTCCAATGTCAACACTGCAAGAAGCAGATTCATCAAAGGCTGCCCATGGCCCAGCTGAAAGAGGCAAAAGAGGAAAAGCGTGAAGTGGCAGTGGGTGTACCCATCACGGGGGGGAACAACCCATGGAAAGCAAGACTACATCGCACGCATCCTGGCAGAGACAACAGCCGAAGGTCATTTGCTGCAGTTGCAAGCCAACTACATAGTATGCCAAAAATGCGGAGTGAGAGTGCTCAAAAATGCGGCACGTGAGAAGATCCAACATCTACATGAGAGTGCATGTTGGTACGGCCCATGGACTCCAAGCCCCCAGTGGACAGGGAACCCTTCCCACATTTTGTGGAGGAAGGGACGAAAAGTCTACTGCCAGCACTGCAAAAGCTATGCAGTAAACAGGCAAGAAGGATGGCAAGCTAGTCGACAGCTTCAACGGCCATGCACGGCCGACACAGCAAAGCAAACGCAACTGCCGATTTGCTTCAGGGCCAGAAATCGGCCAGATGAGAGCTGAAAAAGGTCCGAGAAAAATGCACACATACATACATACATACATACATTCATACATTCATACATACAGACATACATACAGACATACATACAGACATACGTACAGACATGCATAGAGACATACATAGAGACACACATAGAGACATAATACAGACAGACAGACAGACAGACAGACAGACCGACCGACCGACCGACCGACCGACCGACGGACGGACGGACGGACGGACGGACGTGTGTATACATGCATACTCAATTTTTCATCGGCTGCGATGGGTGGTCGCAAATGGAAGGCCACACAAACCTGGAGTTTTCAGCATAGACTTGCGCAGGAAACACTGGGTCCTCTGCTTTGTCCCTTCTTAGGATGACGGAGAAGCTCACGCCAGTGTCAAGGGTGCACGAGAATCCAGCCACTCGTCGTAGCAACTAGGAAACGTGGAAAGTAGCAACTCGGAGTTGGAAGGATTTGGGGTGAGCAAGCCTGCCCCAAACGAACCTTCATTTTTGAGACAGCTGCTTTGTCATGGACGATCCTGAGGCCTCCTTAATTGTCCCAAGAACTGCAAAATCCGAGTCTGCCGGATGTTTCCTTTGTTCCAAGTTCCCTTTCAGATATTGGAACTATGTTTTGCACGTGGCTGCTTTATCTTTTTTGAGACACATGCGGGGGGGCTCACAAAATATGTTGTGGCTGTGGCAGTGACTCTTTCTAGAACTTGGTCTGTGGTGCGGTGTGTTCGAAGCAATTGGAGATTCAGCTGCCAAGGAAGAGCACAAACATTTGCACGAACTTTCCCCGGTTGCCATGGCAAACGTCAGAAAGAAGGCCGGGAGCAGATTGCAATCAGTACCGATATTGCCGTTGTGCGTGTGTTTTTGGTTGAAAGCCAACTGTACATGCAAGTGTTTTTTGTCCTTGCTTTTCGTCAATGACATGTAGATGCTGTATGATGCTGTGCAGTTCCTTTTTGCTATCTTTTGAAAATCGTTCAATGCCATTCATGTGCATTTGGTTATGTTATTTGCGCCTCAAGACCATTTGAACCTATATACAATCATTGTGTGCGCCTCATGTTTGTTCTGCCACTGTGTTTTTTTGCTTTTGAGTGTGCTCCTGGTGCTAGTTTGCAGTTTCTGTTTTGCATTCCCCTCTAGTATCCGGCCTTATTGCTAAAAAAACAAGGGGCGGGAGAAATTGGTCCGTGAGTTGACATGTTTGACCGCATTCATGGGTGAATCGTTCTGGAATTGGGACGTTGGAGCCATTCGACATCGCTTGGAGCCTCAAATGGTTTGGTCCCTGCGACCGCAGGTGCACGCGGACTATGAGATCATGAGGCTGTTCGCTCAGGAAGGCCTTCTTCCTTCAGAGAATGTCTCAGCCCTCTGCAAGTGAGCCGGGCACCGGCCTTCCAACAGTAACAGGCTGCCAAGCAGCAAGCAAGGCCTTCGGAAGGCCTGGAGTTGTCAACTCAGCAGAAACAACACTCTCCACGCTAAGCTCTTAGCTTGGGTGTTTTTTTTTGACATGGCGAGGTTTTGAGCGGTTTTGGTCGGTTTTGGTTCTCTAGTGAGGTGACCAGAAAGCACCAATGTGCCCCACTTGGCTGCCAATGTGTCCGTGAACAGAACATGGTTTTCACTGACAAACCCGGTTTCATCCAGCTTCTTCTGCATGTGACTCGATGTGACGACGGGCTTTCCTCAGTCGTGGAGTTGGTGACCTACCTTTTATACATGCTTGCTGTCTTGGTGACCAACGACAGATGATGTATGATGATGTGAACATTTGGCCTTTGACGCTGCAGCCTTCTGTGACTGCAGGGAGAATGACATGGACTGCGGTCACTGCACTTTCACAACCTCATCGATGTGCATGGCATCGGATCCGCATCACACGACATCACACGATCCACGGAGATGCCCGATATCAGGGGCCAATGAGCCCCATGGATGAGCGCTCGTGCTCTTCAATGCTTTCGGTGGTGACGGGTTGGCGACGATTGCGAAAAAAACAACGCGAGAGACAGAGAGAGAGAGAGAGAGAGAGAGAGATGGATGACATCTTTGCCTTCCCTTGATTTGGTGGATGGATGTTGAACGGCGAAAGGTGGACAGCACAAGATTGCTGGAATTCATGAAGATGATAGGGGCGTTCCATGCGTGGGATATATAATATATAGATATACAGATATACAGTAATATAATGGCGTTGCTCCAAAAAACGGAGTTCCCTGGTGTTGCAAGGTTCCTCTGGGGTCGTTTAATCCACTCATTCATGACCCAAAGGTATGGACAAAAACGTGAGATCCAGATGATTGGCTGGAAGCGTGTGAATCCACAGAGATGCATCCAGAGCCAGGTTGGTGAAGGTGACCCAGCGGCAGAACGATGAAGCGAGGGAGCTTTTAGGCAGGTGACCCAGCATGGCAGGGCTGGGGTACAGCGGTCCTTGGAGTCCTTGACGGGGATTGGACACGTTGGAGACGCATGACATTGGCCAAGAGGCACGCGCTGCGGTCGGATTCTCCCAAAAACGGTGCAGAGTTCACTTGCCGATCTGAGCTGTCCTTGAGCTCAAAATCTGAGTGCTTGAGCTAAGCTAGAATGGATTTTGAGCAAAAAGCATGCTGAAGCTAAAATCCATTCCTAGCACCCTGCATCAGTTCCCTGTCATGTCGGACAACAGCGCCCGCCATCCACAGCAGATCGCTATCCACATTCACAGGCGTCATGGGCCTCCCAGCAGTGTTAGCGCCTGGAGAAGCAGAGCGTCTTTGTGCCCAACTAGCCTTGAACGGCCTGGCACAAGCAGCGGCCACAGAGGCGGTGTGTCACAGGGCTGTGGCCATGATGGATAATTGTGGGATACATGGAACATGGGGTCAGTTAGGTGATGGATATGGGATAGGCCATGGAAATTAGGAATGGTTCTCTAACTAAGTCAATAGGATTGATCTTTGGGACCCCTTGCAATAATACAAAGATAGAGACTGTCGGAGCTGGAAGATGCTTTTCCTCCACTGGGGGTGTTTGGTGGCTTAAGTACCTGTCCATGTTAGTTGTTTTGGTGGGCATCCTGTTTTGGAGTTTCGGAGATCGATTTCATTCTTGGCTCTTCCAAAACAATTGCAGAGTGTAAGCACTCCCCAAAAGGTTCTAAGCAGGTCGGTTCCGAGTGCGGAGGTCAACCGCCACACAGGCAGGGTCGGCTCTTGTCCCGGTGAGCCGAGGCAAACCAGACCGACCAGACCTGATTGTTCTTGTTGGGTGCTATGAAAGAAGAACCAAGAATCAGCAGACAAATCAGTACGGTTGACTTCGACTATATAATAAAACATATAATCCTCATGTTTGGATTGTGAATCCGCTCCATGTGGGGGGTCTTTATTCGTCAAGCGTCTATACTTTAAATTAGTCCTTTGACCATTTCAGGGGGAATCCGGGTATCCATCCCCCGGCGAGAATGGTGGGTGCGGTCATCGCCCCATGGCTACTTGCCCCAGCTGCACCTCAGCCATTGCGAGGGAACATATTCGAGTTTGTTTCGAAGGTGGCCATGGATGCCCTGGCTTACTCAATCTGAGAGTCTTGGAGAACTGTGGCGGACATTGATTAAGCACGTTCTTCCAGGTGCCACCCTGGTGATTGGGGGTGCCAACATGGACAGTCCTCTCGATCGGCATCAGATACCATTGATGCCGTTGTACCACTGGAAGATGTTGTGCACGGTATAGTTCCTGCACGCAAATCCATATATATATATATATACTTCTTCAACTCTTACCATTTGAAGGTGTAGAGCTGGAGGAGAGAAAGAGACACTTGCACTTAAGGTTGGATCCAAGAGCGGCCCACGTACACAATACGACTACACATATGAATGACACGCGTGTGACCCACGTCCATGCCGATGGTACAGCGATGAATGGTACGGTGGGCAGGACTTCGACGCCTTGGCCTTCGGTGCACCAAAGGTGCTGCGGAATTTGCACCAGGGGAGCGCATCGCCACAGGTGCCGCTGGTTCAGGAGCCGGGAGCCATGTGAACAACGCTCATTTAGGGACATGAGTCTCATGACTCATGACTTGAATGGAGGGTAGGCAGGACGTGGCAGGGGTAGCAAGAACTTCCCGTCGAAGGCAGTTGAATCTGGTTCTCGACGCAAGCAACTAAGCACTAAGCAACTACTCTAAAGTCTGCGGATGGGATGTGTTTAAGTTTAGAGATTGAATTTCTGGGACTGAAGAAAGAAACGGGTTTGAAGGTGGTGACTGCTTAGAGTACGCAGTTCCCCAGGCTGGTCCATATGGGGGGGTGCCTCATCCATGGGTTTGAGGAGATCCGCATGCCAGAGATCTTGGCGCAGCTGCATTTCTCTCAGGAGGAATTTGCATCTTGGCACGCCTGTGCGTTTGGTAACGGGCAGGTAGGTTAGGCTTGTAATGTAAGGCCATCAATCAGTGTGGGTGGTGTGAAGCATCGGGATTCTGTTATGTAATTCAGCTTCTGGAGGAGACCGCTGTTTGTTGACTTCCCAGAAGACCGCCATGCCGCAACCGTTCTGGCTCTCCAGCCAATGGTTTGGGATTCGTTTAGCCATAGCTTGGAACAATTGACATTCGACATGTCATGGCACTCAATGACCGCCGTCCAGGCCAACCTCAGGCACAGTGACATGCACAAGCCTTGCAGGGGGGCAGCTCTGCAGGTTTCAGCTCAGCTTGGATCAGACTGTGCAGCAGCTTCTAGATGAGCTGATCCGATGCTCTCCTTGGGACCGCATGGAGGATCTCCGAGTCCATGCGGCTCATGCACCGTACAGAGCCTTAGATCCACGGAGCTTGCTGCAGGACCACCTGCCTGACACGCCATTGGTCGTGGTCCGAAGTGCGCTGCAGGTGCGGCTCCAGGAGTTTCCCAATGCGGGAAAGTTTCTGCAAGCCTTGAGTCGCTCAGCATGGCATCCCAAGTCCCCCAATTTCAACCCCCGGTACAAAGCTGAGATGGCAGATGCCGTTGGCCTGGAGGAGGCTCGAGAGTTGATCAGAGACGCTTTGCTGGACTATCCCGCAGCTTCTGGCGATCGGTTTATTCGAACCTTTGGCTACTTGAGTTCGGAGATGGATCAATCCAATATACTTGATGTTGAATTACTGCAAAACTTTGACCCTGGCCTCAAGACTTTCCGGCATGCAGTTGGAATGCACTGGCTGGACATTGCCCGTGAAGCAGCCAGCAGAAGGCTCTCGCAATGTCCGCCCCCAATCTGTTTGTTTGAAAAGCCACGCGATGCAATGATGCCAACGAAGCTGGAAGTGATTGGCCACTTGTTTCCTTCCACCTTCGGTCTAAATCTACAGAACTCCTTGACTCTTAATGGTTGGATTCCACAGGTATCGCGGAAGGTTGCCGTAAGTTTGTTGCTCTCAATGGACTTGGATGCGGACCGGGAAGAGCTCGAAGCAGAGATCCCTTATTGGATCCCAGAGGACGAGATCGTGAGGCTAGTCCACGTGCAGCTGCGTTTGACCTGCTTGGGGATTGCGGAGGTGCAAGGCGCATTACACGAAGAGTCCGTGCAGTTTCTGGCAAAGTTGTTGGGCTACAGCTTCAGCGTTCTGAATGTTGCAGGTGGGGCAGGTGACTTCATTGAAAGATTGTTGCAGGAAGTAGCACACTTGAAGTCAATGCACTTGAAGCGAGGAATCATGCTGCTTGTTCTGGGTTTGACCCAATGTGACTGGCAGTTGTCGGGTTTGACTTCAGCCGTTGGTGTGCCGCTTCGCTTGGTCCTGTGCTATGATTAGGCACTCAAAGCAGGGATCGAATGAGATGCATTGCGGAAACGCAGGAGAAAGGCAGTTGCACATTGGATCGAATGAAGGAGACGGCATGATCCTGCGCAGCTTGGAGTACGAAACGACAGATTTCTCCAAAGCGAACGAAGCGGGCACCCACTCCTGCATCACTCCTGCACAAGACTCAACATCCGAAGGATTTGTGTTCCAATTTGGTAGGAGCTCCTACCTTTTGAGAGCAGCACAAAAACACACACACACACACATATATATATATATATAGAGTACTGTATATATTTTGACTATAGACTATCATATAAAAAATACTCGTATTATTCTTTTATATGGGATCAGAGCAGGTTTGTGTGGATTTGGTTTTGAAGGCTACACCCATTAAATGAGAGGCAACTGGGCTTTGGGGAGCCGCCGCTGTGCCCTCTTCGCTTGCTGAGGTGGACTTTTGTATCCTCGCAGGTTGTGACTACCTTCCCACCATCTCCAAGGTGCAACAGCTCATGCAGAGATTCGTCAAGAAATGACACGCAGCATGCCCTTCATGGGACAAAACATGACAAAACTGCGACCATGACTTCGACTCATCCAAACAGTTTGCCTCATTCGTTTAAGCTGACCCACCATGCAACTTCCCCACCGGTCGGTCTCCATGGTGTCTCCGGCCGTTTTGGCGCCGTAGGTGGGGATCATGACGGCGCAGCAGCTGATCAAGAAGCACCGGAACATTGAAAGCATCCTGAGGCCGCTGCCGTGGATGTTGAAAACCCGATGTGTCAGAGAGAGGGAGAGAGAGAGTTGATGACAACCTGTACCAAGCGAATTCCATATTCGTTCGGAAATAAATTAGCTACAAAACCCTTACTGTATAATGATAAATTATGATTTATGATCCTTATTATGCATATTTAGCCAAGCGGCGAGCATCACCATCTCCAACTTTGAGGAACATGTTCACACTGCAGCTTTGATCCTTGTTGCAAGTCGACATGACACTTCTTGCTGTGATTTAGAACATCTCATCATCTCATTCCTTTCATGTCAGGAATCTTGACCGCGCCAAGTACAAGGCAACCTGGTCAAAGTTTCTGTGTCCTTTTCTGTGTGCTACACTAGCTTCTAGCTCTTTCTATTTGGACTCCCAGTGAATGTCGGCTAAGTTTCATCAGGTTGCACTTGCGTTTCCCTCTGTTCTTAGGTGCCAGAAGACTGGAACTTCCAGGGTGCAAGGCTAGGCTCCGCGCGCTCCGCGCGCTGCCACGCCGGAAGCGCCAGGGTGGCACCATGCGACCAACCTCACGCCGTCGGAAGGGTGTCACAGTCTCAAATGCAGGGGTCGCAACCACGAATGAAGCATGATGAAGCGCGATGTCATTTTCCGAGACATTTGTGCAATAGGTTCCTAGCCTCTACAGCGAGAGACCGTTGCAAGGACAAAGACGCTGTCTACAATTGCATGTCTACAAATACTGCGGTTGTGCACCATGGTTTCTTCAGACCTGGGTGTGCGCTGCGATGCCTTCGGCGACATCCAAACCAAAGGGCACCGCTTTGGGCCCATTTAAGAACTTGCCCAGAAAGCTCCTTGCACTTGCACCTTAAGCAAGCGGTGTAAATTTTGGTACTACTAGTAGCGGGTTTGTCAGATTGTCTCCTTCATCAGTAGAGCTTGGGGCGGCCTCTTTCGTATTGAATATTTTTTGATGGGATGCTGTCAGGCAATGCTTTTGCCCTATGGACTTGGGTTTCTTACGGCAGACTGAACTGAAGGAGCTTGGAGTTGATGTTTGGCTGGCAATTTTTTAGTTTTCATCGAGAATTTGTATGTGCATAGTAAGTGCATAGCATATCATATAATAGTATGCAACATGCAACACAGAAGAGTGTCCATTCTGCTTGCCCGTTTTGTTTTTTGCTTGTTCGAAATGGTTTCGTTCCACCATGGATTCAACATTGCTGAATGATGCTGAATGGCTGTGTTGCAAAGTCATGCTACGGAGGATGTGGAGCACTTTGATTTGTTTTGAACTGGAGACTTAGATTCGTAGAGGAGTGGTATGTACATGCATGCGCAGATGTTCTTTTAGGATGACTTTGCATGGTACATAATATATGTACAAAACTGTACACTATGTTGCACCATCTCAGGAGAAGCCTGTGGACGCTGGGGCTTTGCGACGTTTGTATCCGGGCAACGAATTCGTGCGGTGTCGTGGGTGGGATGCGTTGTACGAAGCTTTGGGCTCTTGGTCGCTGGACATTGGGACCATTCGGGGGCACCATCCCTCTCGAAGCGTCGCCCTGGATTTTCATGAATCCACTCTGCTTAAAGATCGTGGGGGTTGTGAAGCGAACAGTCGTGGTTTTATTCAAGGGGGACTTGAACTTGAACATCGCTGAGTAAAAGTGGCTGCACAAAAATGTTGGACCCGCACAAGGGTGCGATGTAGAAGACCAGATCGATAAGTGGCCTAGATGATCCCGTTCATAGGTAGAAGTTGGTAGAAGCATCATAAATCAACAGTTCATAGGCAGAACTGTAGAACCATCATGATTTCCTTTCACTTTGATTCATTGACTCAGCAGTTCCTGTGGCTAGTGAATTTCGGATAGGGAGAATGAGATCTGAGGAGCCCCGGCCCCGCACGGAACATCTTGGTTTCACGGACCTGTTTATCTTAGGTTTCATTTTTTCCTGGGGGCTTCTCAGAAGATACATTGCATGGAGTGGATAGATTTTCTAAATATGTTCGAAAGGGACATGTGCTTTGGAAACGATCTGCGGGGTGCTGGAAGTTTGATGTTTCCCTCCTCTTTTGAACTCTTGGAGATCATTGAGACCGGCCCCCTAACACACACACACACACATGCACACCTGCAGAGGCTCCTTGAGCGCCATTCGCTACCGCCAGAGATGGTCGACGAGAACATGCGGAAGCTTATCACAGTGCAGCTTGGCCAGCTTGAAATGAATAAGGATACACAAAAAGGACATTGTGACTTGTGACATTGCAAAATGGGGTTGTCGGCAAAACAACCCTGATGGCAAGTTGGCAAGTGTGGTTGCAGCAGTTGTAGTGCTGATGCTGGTGTGTCCGGAGCAATCCTGTGCCCCCTCCTGGTTCCACAATGCTATAAAAGTCCAGTCCAGGTCATTCCATAGCCAACAACAATGACAGGCACAGTACAAGTTCCACACAGACAGGTGGACATGGCACTGAATCATCATCAGTGTGCTAATTATGCGACATGACTCGATCGCTGTGTTTTTCACCATCGCGGAGGAAAGGCTGCTTGCAGCCTCCACGGCCGCTTCAGTCTCCACCGCCGCGCGTGCCGAAGAACGGACAGCAGCGGTGGCTTGACAAGGATTGCTAGGATTCAGGTGCCCTTGTGGAGTCATCGGGCAGCTGGTATGTAGAGGTGTAACTTGGCCACCCTGATTCAGGATTTTCGGGTCAAGGGTCTTTCTGGCCTTTCTGGCCTCATCATGCATCATCGAACGTAATCCTAAAGCCCAAATCCCTAACGGGGACTACAGATTACAGACTGTCGGATTGCCTGGTTCCGCGCAGATTATGGATTAGAACTCGACCTGCGGATGAATGATTAATTACTTTGGCAGACAGTTGTTTGTTGTTGGATCTCTTCCTTGATAACCAGCTGGTGATTTCGTCCACATGCAGATTCTCCAATTAACCTCCCACCAACGAGTCCAGTTACCATAAAAGGAACCAGAGACCGATGCACGATGCAGTTGTAGAAGATTCCTAAGATGCCCCAAGCACATTTCAAACCCAGAACCCCCAACTCACGGGTTTGGATTGATTTTGTTTCCAAATCGGGGGTTGCGTCCTTGAGGGTGGCTGTAGATGGAGAGCCCAAAAAACAAAGTGGATGTGTCCTCTTCGGGGTTCTGCCCGGGACTTCTCGCCCCAGGACGCCAAACAAGTCTAATGAAAATTATGGTTGAGGAAGGTATTTTTTTAAACGTTCCACCAGGAAAATCCAGGAATGATTGCAGATTGTAAGGGTTGCGGATTACGACAGATCACGGATTGTTCGGATTAAAGATCTGGTCCGGATTAGAAGATTTACGGATTCGTTTTGTAGGCCTCATTTGGATGAGCCCAGTCTCTTTAAGAACGGAGTGCAGAGCACTGGGACCGTGACACGTTCAAGCTGTTGGATTGGGCGCATTGGCCGACATGCCACGGCGATTGATCGAAGTGAGTTCGTCAAGATTGATCGAACAGACGAGGTGCCCCACCCCCATGAGGGAAGTGTTCCGCGTTGTCACCCAAGCGATCCCAAGCGGTTTGTGGGCGTGTGAGGCTAGCTGCTAACGTGAAACAGGAGAAGAAGCCCAGAGAGAGACAGAAGAAACAGTTTGGATCCAGGCGCGCCAACTGCCAGACCAGTTTTAAGATGTTTTAAGTGTGGTATGTGCCTAGTGGCCCCGAACTACATGAACATGAGTGAAGTGATGCACTTCGGCTGACTTTCTATTTGGTCGTGCTGTCCCTTGCTGAGCTCCACCATCCACCTTGTGGCATGTGGCTTGATTCAAGCACTGCCTTCCGGAAAACACACCATTACTGTAGCCACCACCGAGGCAACACCATATTCCGATGGTGGCCTTTTTTGTGGTAAAATGTATGTCGTAGTATGTCGAACGCCGGATGAGCACCTTGAATACCATAATTGGACCACCCTAGCTATACTAGTAGCATCCTTGCTACTAGTGAGTGGCGATGCACTTGTTCCTAGTAGCGATGCACCTTGCTACTAGTAGCTTCTTACTACTGGTAGTAATGCACCTGCTCCTAATAGCATAAGACCTTCAACCTCCGTCCGTGGCTTGGGAGGCAAACGACTGAGTTTTGTGCCCGCCAGCAGCCTTACTTTCGTTTGGGGGTACAGCTCGCAAGACATGCTAACAGACACGTTCAGGCTAAAAATCACCCTTCCAACGTCCAACACCTCAACACCTACACTGGCATGCAACATCAGAGTTGATGGCACAAATGCTGGTGGAGAGCCAACTAGAGAACTCTGGATTGGTGGCAGTCTCCTTAAGCCTTAGTCTACGGTTCCCGCTCAAGCTCAACCAGTTGCAAGAACGATTCTTGCAGGCCTCCGGCCACGCCACAAAAGAAGGGGAGCCCTTTGCGCCAAGCCTTCTTCAAGGACATTGGTCTGGGGGAAGAAGGAAAGGAACGTGAGGGACGCCGTAAAAACTGACCTCAGAATGTTCCATACCACCGTAGATTTCACAGTTCCAATTGTTCATGATGTTGATGCCTGTTGCTATGTTGAAAACTTCACGTGGCCTCTCAAGATTCATTTTCATCACCCCCATGCCACCATCATGTGAATTTCCAGATCAGGTGTAACCAACTTGCTGTGATCACAGTGACCTATCATACTGCACCTTTGCGTCGCGCAGGGCAAGCGCACGGTGGTGGACGAGGCCTCGCCCGTGGCCAAAAGGCGGGACGAAAGGGCGGGGATTTCCAGGTTCGCGACGACCGAAGAAAGGTGATCCCTGAACAAGTAGGATCCATTCGCGAAGACTAGACATTTGGCTTAACCTGTGAACGAAGGTTTCGGCTTCGCCAAAGCGCCAATTTGGCGTGGATCTATTTCCTTTCAGCTTGGCTGAGAGAAGCTCTTGCAGGCCTCTCCATCTTGGCCGATTCACCGAAGCGTCGACGTTAGGCGACGCCATGCGGTGGCCATGCTCCAGCACTGCTTCGGTGACGATTTGCTGCTGCCCGCGGACACCTGGTGAAGAACAAAACGGTTTGGGTGTTTCCATAGCTGGCGCCCAAGTGGTCCAAGCCCACATCCACAAAACCACATAGAGGCATGAGGGCTTCAAGTTTGAGGAAGGGAGTGAATCAGCATCAGGTGGGAGGGAGGATCAAGCCAAGCGGATGGGGATTCAACATCCGCTTTTTGCCACGGACAGACTGTGTCGAGCTGACTACGGCTGTATAAGAACACTTCATTGTACTAGTCACTACTCACCGAGTAGATTCACAGGTATGCCAATATAGCCTTTGGGGTTGCAACACTACGAGCGCATCGGACAGCGTGGAAGATGATGCAGTCACCCAGTCTCCTGGCCACGCCACCAAGCAAGTGCATGTATTTGACTCTTCCAAGCGGCATGTTATAGGATATGCCCAACCTAATTATTGGACACCGCTGTGGGCATGACGCAAAAAGACGAAGTCTTGTCCCCTCATGTGGAAGATGTGTTGAAGGTTACTATTTGGTCGGTGTTCATTTGTGACCCGCTAAGGGTGAGCCCCTTGAGACACTTCTGTAATCCGTTTGATGTACTTGGACTTATAGTGTTACGGCAGATGTGCTCCAGTGGGGTTCCAGTGGTTACTGAACCCCCTGAGCTGGAGACGCCCTTTACCAGCCCTCCTGCACGCAGAGGAGACGCCCTTAGCAGAACTGGAGCGCCTAGTCCAAGAGGTGCAGACGGATGCATCCTCTCAGGCAAGGCAGGACATAGCTTTTTGAGAAACAGTTCCAGACTCAGGCTCCCTCCATGCAAGGCGCTCTGAAAAGGCCCCACCCCCAATACGCTAAGGATATCCTGGAGGCTGTATGTTGTGAAGAGTTGTGCGCGCCAGTTCATTGCTCAGAACACCATCCCTCGCAACAAACCTAGTATATAGAACAGATGTTTGGCAGCCCAAGATTGAGGAACTGAGATTGGTTGGTCCTCCTTGAATCATCTTGACTCCGACCGAAGGGTCGGGTGAGAGGCAGGCGAAATCGGCCAGGCCTCGCAGTGTACCACTCTTCCGGGGAGCAGCTTGTTTAGCTGCCTATCATTGGAGGAGCCGCCATTCCATGTGAAGGTAACGATGACTTGGCACCAAGTTTGCCCACTTTTTGTCGGCACTGCAAGTGCATCGAGTTAGATCACATCAGCTGCTTTTGACGTCTTTCAGTACTGTGAGCTCAGAAAGCGCATGAAAACGCTGCACTCAGAGATTGGCCCACCACCAGGCTCACTTATAGTCATTGTTTGACATGTTTTGACTCCATGGTTGTTGCGTGGAGAGACGTTAGCAACAGAGCAGACAACTTATAAGCATAATCTTAGTGTCTTCGCACTGCGCGATTAGATGTGCAGCTCAGTTTCGATACAGAAAAGGCACTGTGCCTCCAAGAAGGCATTGTACGAAGGTTTGTGGGCCGTTTTTGGGAGGCTGACCTAGGCCGGAACTTGAGCAGACCTAGGAGCTTTGAGCAGCGCTGGATGTGCTGTGACCCAGATGACTGTGAGCACCAGGCGTTCTTGAAATCTTTTTCGTTGCTTTCTCGCGACTTTATGACTTTGTGATACTTTATCCCTAGACTCTACATATAGTTGATATCGGAATTCTTACAGTATCACAATGTGATGCATTGTGATGCATTGTGACTTGTTTTGGAATGAAGCTAGTTTAGGTTGTTGGAAGACATTGTGTGATTGATTTGATGGCGGGAGCTATGTTCAAAAATGCTCAGTGAACTAATTCGTTGCGCGCATCTAGCCTGGTACTGGCAAGCGTCAGCCAGGATAGACCGGGCCACCCAAAGATCCCGGAGTGATTTTTACTCAGCCTTTCGCCAAGGGCACCCTGTGTGGGAAGGTATTGAGCAAGCTAAACCCAAAAGCCTGCAACAAGAATTCCACCAAGCATCTCGTAAATTCAGGATTCTTTCTCATTTCTTATCCTGATTGGTTTCTTATCAGAATGTTTAATGATACCTCATGCAGCATTTTCTTGGGCCTCTTTTAGCGACAGGCTGCTTTCCAATTCTTCGTGCTGGGGGAACAGACGCGAGGAAAAAGCAAAAACACCGAATCCTTCTTCGCGCGCGTCGCGTTGTTGATATGTTTTGTTGTTCAGGCCATGACGACCTGTCATGATGTCATGGGTTCGGACATATTTGGACCAATTATATACATGTGCATTGCATGGCCCAAGAATGTAGCTTTGCCTTTGCCAAAGAAGGAGCTTTCCACATGCAATTAGCGCCTCATAGGTGCCATGTGTCTTATTTTGAGTGCCAGTTGACTTCACCAAAGGTCACCATGATTTGGGGGTTAGATGATTGAAGAGAATTGTAGCTTTGTGATGATGGATTAAAACCACATGATCACTGAATGGTTTTGACTCTTTGACATGTTTTGACCAATGTCAGTGGGTGTTCAAGGTCTTCTTCCATGTCCTGCCATGTCTTCCATGGGTTCCGAATAAAATCCCTAAGAGGGCATAGACATGATGACTCGATCAGCGCTTTTGACCCGTTCTTGATCAGCCTCTTTGACCCGTTCTAAGTCGCTGCTTTTGACAAGGTTATTGATTCGTCAAGATGGCTCCTTTGTGGAGGAAGATGTCTTCAGAAGGTCTATCGCAATGTCCATATCAAAGACAAACTGTCAAACAAGATTGTAACGTGTGTGGAAAACACCTGTACTTGCATGTAGACTTCTATGTATATACTTGTGCACATGCCCTAGAGAGACGGACATGATAGGCACGCATTCCCATATTGGTTTTGCTGTCTCGAGACTCCGTTTCTTCATTATGAGAAGCTTCAAGATAGACCGAGACACTGTTGACAACCCTGCAGACACTGTTGACACGTCTCAATTTGACACAGCGCACGATGGCTCGATGGCTCTCCATCTGACATCCTCGATTCGAGGCGTGGGAGCGCTGCCCCAATGAGCACAAATCACATAGGAACCATGTGGCCGCTATTTTGACAGGACAAGGCCGTGACAAGGTCATATGTCAGTGCTGTTGTTTTTCCTGCTGTCAGCTTAGACTAAAAGATACCGAAGGTAGAAACTTGATTCTTCCCACGCTGTGGTGGCATCCATCCGCCTTCTTTGCGCCAAAGCATGCCGATGGGGCCACGTGGCCCACGTGGAGGTTTTTGCTGAGACTAGACCTAGATGCGAAAGAGTGTGAGGTTCGCAAAAGCTTGGACACGCCCAAGCACCAGCGTATGCGACTGTTGGCTGGTTGCGTGACATCATGTGACATCAATAAGATGGCCAACGTGTGAACTACCGCGGAGGCCGGGATGCGATTCTCCCTCAGGGCCATGAGAGGAGAGAATTCCATGTGCGTGCTCGTGTGTCTGGCATGTTGTACCTGTCCCAATTCAATGCATTTCACTGAGTGTTGCGGACATGGCACCTAGAAGAAAGCGACATGGGAAGAGAACATAAAATCAAGACTGATGTGACTAATGTCCCCAAAGGTGGAGGTACTCGTAAACTTCATTTCGTTCAAGAGTTGCAGAAGTGAACAAAATGTAATCGCCGAGTTGGAGATGAGCACCCAAGTTCAGATCGGGCCGGATCCATCGAAGAATCTCTGAGCTTGGCCTTGGAGATCTTGGAGACCATCAGCCCGAACGAGCCAGGTGTCTCGATGACCTCGGGTGCTTGGCCCGAAGGACTCGTGTGCTTGGCAGGCACAAACAACGGAGTTCGACCCTGAATTGTTGTCGGTCAGTAATGGTCAGTCCCTGGATCTAGTTAGTTAGGTCCCTGATACGCCGCAGAAATGACAGGGTTCGAGGACTTAGCGAGTCTTACATGTTACTTATTGTGTCAAGGATGATTGTTGATGGCTGTGCTGACATTGGATGGCATGCCGGCAACCATCCCATGCAGTTCGATAGATGCCCGCAACTTGGGGCAACATGTAGTTTGTCAGATCCTGTGAAGTTTGTGGCAACCAGAGAGTCCCTACCTGAAAGGGAGCTCAGTCGCTTCGATGGCGAATCTAGCAGGTGTGGGGCACTGGTTTGGATTTTTCTTGTGCGTGCAGTTCCCTTCAGAGAGCTTTTTGGTGTTTGTTTATTGCATGATTGCTTGTCCTTTGTCAAGGCACTGCCGCAACTTGGGTGGGCGCTCACAGGTCTCGGATGGCCAGGAGCTGGTGGTGGGAATTAAGGTAGAGAAACACATCTAGGTTCATGCTATCCATGATGATCGTTGTGGCTTGACCATGTTGGTGCAATAGGTATTTCAATGGTTTGCATAGACAGGTTGAAAAAGTGACACCTGTTGAAAGTGTAGTGAGTACAATGGAAGCATTCGCATTTGATTTCTAGATTCTATAGCGATTTTGTGAACACTATACCACTTACACGTCCTCTCCACCTTTACCGCTTGGGTCATTTTGCAGCGACTGCAGCGAGTGAGGCATCAAGCTGGGCCTGCAAGTGAAACCGCTACTCAATTACCACATATGTGGAGTTTCCACTTGCAAGGAACCGTTCTTCGGAGGTGTCCACTGGCAGTTGCGACACTATATATTTATATATATATATATATGTATGCATATATACCCAATATCACATCATGTGAATCATGTCACATCCAAGGCATACTGCATACCACGGCTTATTTGGGCCAGTCGCCTCCGTTCTTTGCAGGAGCCAGCGGAGCAGACGGAGCAATGGCAAGACCAGCGAGGTCTTTCAACCATTCTGGGAAGGCCCGCCTGGAGCTTACATACTCGATGAGGCCACTGCAAGATTATATTTATATGCTGCATACACGCTGGATTCATATCCAAGTATACGTATTATACAATATAATTACACATTTCCGTGTGATAGCAGACCGCGTAACTTAGTAACCACATCATGAAACCAGCCATACCGGATTTTGGACCAATGTAGCCGTAGCCAAGCTTTTAACTTTTTGGGTTGATCAATGTTGGAGTGTCTCATCGAGACAGGTCATAAATTTGGCAGCCGCTGCTGCAGGTTTCGCGGTGCAACCGTTTGCAGCTCAGTGGGTGTGGAGGAGACTGCATTCGACAGGTGATCCGGCTGGTGCTTGGATGTGTGTCGAACCGATTGCAGAAACAGATGCCAGTCTGGTTCTGGACCCTAGGGAATGAAAGATCGTAAACGAGAGTTTGGGAGTCACCATGAGTCACCATCATCATCGTCGTCGTCATCATCATCGTCGTCACCGTCATCATCCATTGCGCACAGGTATACGTATACTTGATTGTTGGCCCTACTGTTGCAAGATCCTGCCAGCATAGATCGAATGCACACGCTGGTGGAGCTCAATTATGATGGATCCCTTTCATCGCAATTTTGCAGCAAACAACTGTGTGAAGAAATGTTGCAGTCCATAGGTCCTTTGGGCTTTGCTCAAATGCACTCAAGACCCAAATATTCAAGGGGATCTTGAGAGATGGCCAGGTTTCCCACCCATGGCCCATGCCCATGGAAAATGGAGGAAGTCACATACATCTCTCCTTGTTGGGGATGTGATCGTCAGTGGAAATCCTCAGGCCCCATGCATGTCTCGCACCTGGCATGAGCGAGCGCCTTGAGGTCCTGGCATGAGCGAGCGCTCGATGTCGCCGAAGTGCTCGGTGTCTCAGCCGGGGTGAAGACGATGGCGGCTCGAAGCGACGGCTTAGTTGGAGCGGTCGGTGCGGCCGATGGATGTCCATGGGGTGCGGGGCCAGTCATCCGGCTCAGGCGGAAGATTCCCAGGAACTTCGAAAGGTGCTGTAACAAGTGCATCGCTTCTACGTAGTAACAAGTGCCCTACTAGTAGTTTCGTTCTACAGTTTTATGATGTTTCAGTACGTGCATCTCAGCGCAGGATCCGAGCGCATCTCAGCCACCAGACCGTGACTGTCGTGACTCTTCCATGACTCTAGGCCTGGTGCTGGACGTGGATGGGTGGCACGCAGACAGGACTGTGCAGACAGACTGGGACTTGCCATAGACTTCTCAGTGGGTTTGGCTTAGCATAGGTTCCAAAAGGACAAGCCAAGCAGTCAACAGCATTGGCATGTCCAATAGACAGACACGGAATCAGTTGTCCTATTTAGATACATGGCTGCAAGGGTTTAGTGTCACATCTCGGCGAGATGCCTTGCCCTGGGCAGGTCCAAAAGGGCGAGTTGCTACTGTCCATCCCTCGTGTGGCAGCAATCGAAGTGGACATGGATGAAGACATGGAGGAGCCCCGAGAAATGCAGTTTGGAATCCAAGGTCCTGGCAAAACTGACCACATGGACTGTCCCTACATTAGCATACATTAGCCGTGTCTTCAAAAGATCCGGCTTGCCTAATTGTACCTTTTCAAACCCCAAAACGGCCACTATCGCACCGGTCAGAAGTGGTGAGACGATGTCAGAGATCGTCCTTTTTTGCGACTCAATGAGCCATGACGATCACCGACGCATCGGTCTCCTGCATCCAAGAAGGTCAGACCAAGGTAAGATCTCCCCACCATTTGTCGAAATCCATCGAAGAAAACACAATTGTTACACTCACTTGCAGCTGGTGATAGCCCGGCGGCATGCATGCACTCATGAAAACGCATTCGAACCATACTCGGCTGCCTGGTTGATCTTGCCAGGGGTGGGAAGCTGAGCTGGCGCTCAATGTGTTGCGAAGGTGCGGTGGTAGAGAGTTCTGAGGTTTAAGGTGGACCTGGCCAGACTTTCATGATGTTCCAGACACTTCCCTGAAGCCAACCAGACATCCAGGTGTTCAACCAACTGCATGGCTTTGCTCAGGTTGTGCACGAGAGCACTCGTCAAACTTACCGCAACACATGAGCCAAAAAGCAGCTCTGTGTCAACCCAGAGTTTCAACTTCCCAATCCGATTCTAGTCGCAACATGATTCAGAAACACCACGCCACTAAAGAATTGAAGCGTGGTGATGCACGCTTGCACCTTCGGATTTTTTTCCTCAGCGCCAGGCTGGACCGGCTGGGCCCAGCTGCGGACCCAAGGCAACGAGCCAGCCGCACAAGTGGAGCTTGTTCATGTGAGCGGAGAAAGTCCAAGTCAATAACCTTACATGATTGTTTGCCCAGGGAGAGGCTCCAAACAGACTGGGATTGCCTATTGCTGATCTTCCTACATATCATATGATTATATATGATTCATATGATCAAAAATTGCTGTGTGATGGCACTGAACTCCACAGTTCTATCGTAGAATCCAAGCAGCAATCTGGTGGGCAACTCTTTCGTCCGGGATTTGGTCAATGAAACCGGTCAGCCGGAGCGGTTTCGTTCGGTTCACCGTACTCACCGTACTCCCTCCAAAAGGCGAAATGTGCTTTGGTCAGCCGGAGATGAGCCAAAAACACAGCGGAAAAGCAGATCTTCACAGGACCCCTGTGAGATGGACCACTTCGGAACCTGATTTTTCTTCTGAACCTACCGTGGCAGCTGATGCACCGTGAGAAGTGCGACGACGGACAGGTGGAAGCAGCGTGGCGGAGCGGGAGCGGGACTTGTTTCAGGATCCTGTGGAGGCAGCAGTCTTGAATTGAGGAATTGGGAGAAGAGCTGTGTCACCTCCCAGAGCTCGCTTCAACGAGACATCGACGTTTGTATCCTTGAGCAACTCCCGCAGAATCGGCATTTTTCGGAATTGGCTCCCGGGTTTTCCGGCATCGTCGGAACTTCGCCGAGTTTGGTGGGGAGGCCTTGGCTGGTGCAGCATCGAATAAAGACTTTGGGACCGGCCCTGGCACCAGGTGGAAGCTGTGTGCTATATGCATCGCTCGAAATTGGGCACTGCCGAGCGATGCATAGCTTAGTCTGCTCTGGTCTTTTCATTGCAACTGCCACCGGGTGGATCCTGGTCTCCCCAGTGCTGAAACACAACGCTTCGCCAGCTTTCCGCCATCCACGCACCACACCTCAGCATTTGTTGCAGAAGCTTAGGACGAACCAGCAAGGACAAGCAGCTCCATCAGTAGCTGGATTAGAATGGCACCAAACTCGCAGTCAAGGGTCAGAACTGGGGCCTCGCAACTCGAGCAACCACTTTGCCCGCATCCACCAGTGGTGACCAACTGAATTGCTCCCAAAGCGAAACCTGAAGGGCTCGGGTTGTTTTTCAACAATGAAAGGTCTCAGATTGTGGCTCACATCACAAAGTAGTGAACACTTGCCCCTATGTTGACCTGATCACCCAACACACCTTGCTGCAGCAGCTGTGGCAAAGAGTTGGATCGATGTCCAATCAATACATGGAGAGCCCTGAAAGATACCAAAGCGAGGAGTAGCTGTCCATGCATGGAGCAGTGTGCACGACATTGGATGGACTGGAGTTTGATGTTTGGAAGTCGCCCGAGACTCTGCGGGGTTTGCCGAGTTCTTGGCAACGAGAGCTACCAAAAAACTGATCCTGGTCACGTGCAATCAGTACAAAGTTGAGGGCATGGCAACACTTCATCGCATGTGTTCGTACGTAACATTTTGCAACAGACAGGCCAAGACATGAGTACATGCATTTTGCTTGAGGCTTGAGTCATTCCCAGAAAGAAGATGAGCTGCTTTGGGCGATGCTATGTATATATATATATTTTTGGAATTCCAAGCCAAGGGGAATTAGTTGCCTGAATGTTTGTAGTATATTGACAGTATTGACTCTTGCTAACTGTAAGTATGATCAGCATGAACTCACTTGTCGGTATTCACCATGGCAGGCTTAGGCAGAAGCACGAACTACAGGCACGGAGCTTTTTCGCTTTGGTCCCTCTTTGCCATGCTCGCATGCCAATGCATGCAATGCTTTTTCTACTGTTCTTTCCATATGCGGAAATGTGATTGAGTATATAGCTTGATTGGAAGGAGGCTGCGGCAAGGCAGGAGGTTGATTCGCTCGGCACCATGCTAAGAAGACTCCATGTTGATCCATGTCATCGCTACTAGGGTAGGAAACAAAGGAACAAGAAACGGAAGAAAGGTCTACTGTATTATTCGCTACTAGGAACAAAGGGCATCGCTCCTAGGAGCAAGGACGCTACACGTAGCAGAAGCTACTAGCAGCGTTCTTGCTACTAATTAGAGTTCGACTCTGGCGGCTCCAGACTCAGCACAGCAAGGCTTTGTGGCAAGACTATGCCAAGACCTTCCCCGAAGCACCGGCGGGTGCAGCGCCTGGAGACTCAATTTCCGATTGCGCCGGCGAATGACCAGCAAAAGCCAGCAGGTTGTTTGTTTCTGTGATTCCTTTCATTTTGTCCATTGGTTTTGTTGGTTGTTTTATGTTGTTTTTGTTCAACATGGGTTTTCTCACCGGTCTATTCCATTGGTTGTGTTGATGATTTAATATGCCAAAGGGATTTGTTTGGTCCATTGATGGTCTCGCTGCGGCCACGACCATTCCTCCAGACCAAATGTAACATTAGCATACGTTAGCGGATTAGCAAGGCAGACCCTCAGTTTGGAATGGTTTGGAGAATTGGGGTGCCAGAACACTGCAAAGGTGGCTTATAGATTTTCGATCTGAACATGCACGTCTAACCCCAAAGCACGTCGAAACCGGAGAGGTTTGGGGGCGAACTGATCAAGCGGGATCCAGGGAGTCGATTGGTAGCATGCATTTCCCAGATGTGCAGTGAGGGGAAAAGGACATTTCTGACATTGCTACTTCGTGCAAGGCTTTCCTTAAGAGATCTTGCTTGAACCTATGCAATTGTTTGCCAAGATGATGGCGATCCAGTTCTTTGGAACAAACAATGTGCGAAACATGACCTCCTACGCTTAGGCGAGCAGTCACTGGTCTCAAGACATGAAGGATTTGTTGAACATACCCTTGCAATCTCTTGCACAATTTGCACCCGCTCAACTCCAAGTTCTCATGCAGAGAGCACCACAAGAACACAGCTTGGAGCTCGCCGTGCTTGCCCTGCCACAAGACTAGAATCACACTTCCCAGCTCGCGGAAGAACTGGGTGTGCCTCACAAGGGGGAACCTCAAGCTCGATCAAGTCGAGAGTCGAGGAAGTTGTTTTCCGTTGTTGGCTGTTGAACATTCCTTTCAATTCCATTCCCATCTCTCCGCCTCCACGTGTTTCGCCGCCATGATCCACGGGAGCCATGGCCTGGCGCTTCCTGTTGGCGCAGGCGATTAGCGGCTGAATTCGTTGGTTCGAAGCCACTAACTCTGGGGTGTTTCCTTCACCAAACCAACCCTTCGGACATTAGACACCACATCTTGAACCAATGCACTGAGTCACTGTGCAACCCTGACTTTAGGAGTCACCATTGATGAATCATCGGTGTGATGCAAATACTGCACCTGAAACATGTGATCATAAAATGTCATAAGCCACCCATAGCCACCCTGGAGGTTTGCAGCGGCGAAGCTGCTTTCAAAGATCAGTTGTCCGAGCTGGCCAGAGTAGGATTGAACTTCGGCAGCTTGGCTTGGCTCAGCTCAGTGTAAAGTGGGCAGACCAGACCGCCAGGCATCATTCAAATCAACATGGAAGCCAGGATCAATTCACCAACTAGGGGTTGAAAACCGTGTAGTTACCTTGCACGGGGATTGGTTAATATGCCAGGTATGCCTTGCCAGATTTCACATCTCCAATGACAGACAGGAAGACATGCCAGAATGCATTGTTTGGCTTCAGACTTAACAGCATTGCTGTCCTTGTCGCCTGCCTATTGCGAGGTCAGACCTACCAATTGGTGGAGAATTGTGGCAACTTGTTGGCAGCTGAGTTTGGGCGTAGTGGCTTACATGCAACTGTAGACAGATAAACTCAGTTTGCCCATTGGATCCTTGGATATCCTTGGAATGGTGAAAAACCTACGTATACAAAGTGGGTTTCCCGTTTCACTGGTTCAGTTCAATCACTGAAAGCTGCCTTCACGATTGTTCCCTGTCAGGTCTTGTCAGGCCGTGCCCAGTGGATTGTTCATGACCCGGTCGCATCTCACTCAACCGAACATTCCTTTGGTGACAAGTTGTGAAGGTGGGAACGACTCAAGTTGCATATATAATCAGATGCACATGTTACTTCTTTTCCAAAAAATGCAAATAACACATAAAACCAAATCAAATCAATAATATATGAAGGGCCACTTTTATTGCAGGTGTCCCATACTACAGACCGTCTTCGTGGGCCTTTACAATTTTACAACATTTCAGCAGCACTGAGGAGATGAAAACCCATTGCTCGACTTGCTGCAGGAGCCTGAGAGGCTGGAAAACACAGAAAGTAGTGCGCAACCGGCCTTGTTTGCTGTGACAGACTACGTCGAAATGCGAAGCTTGCCAAAAAGTTCAAGACCACTGTGGGCGGAAGGAAGAGATATGAGAAACTTTTCACGGTTTTTGCGGATGTTTTTGGGTTTTGCCAGGTATCCACCATATATATATAATGGGTGTCCATATGTTTTGTTCTTGCCGTCTTCCAGACTCTTGGTGGTCGATTTGGGTTCTCGGCTGCGGAAGCACCAGGCTACCCGCCGGGCAGCTGAGACAATTGTTGCTGGGAGACCGACGTCCCAGTGGCTCGATTGGAGACCGTGGTAGAGTCGTGGAGATTCGTGGAGCTGCTTTTAGGGACGCCATGGCATGTGCGAGCCCAAAGAACGACCTCCCTAGAAGCGATGGACCCTTCAAATCAGAAAATCTTGAAGGAGTCTTGACAACACCTTGCCAGTGACCTATCTTCAACATCCTTCAACCATCATCAGACCAATGGGCTCAAAAAAGGGTGCGCGGGAAGTGGTGGCCAAAACGGTCATCGATGCGTCGCTCCCGTTGTCGGTCCGAACACCAATGGCACCACGGAGTGGAGCGGGGCTGAGGTGTCAGCTTCTTGTCGGAGACTCTGAAGGAGCTCATCCATCGCAACATGGAGATCTTCACCTTGGTCACAGGAGAACCCAAAAAAGTGCGAGATCACAAGATGGCGCGAGAGTTTGGGGAGTTGCTGCTTGCATGTTCGCGCATTTTTTTCTTATGGTGGTAGGACATGGTATAGGAATATTCGTAGGAAGATCCATTGGTTGGGAGAGCCCGGCCGCAGGTTAGATGGTTGGAGTTGCCTCCTTCCTGGGAGGCAACCAATTGCAGAGACACTGACATCAACAGAGAGAGAGAGAGAGGGACCATGAGAGACCGAAAAATCATCCCTGGACCACTCGTAGAAACTGTTTAGTTGGTATTTGGTACCCAGGTTCGCATCCTACCCGGGTTCTTTCGAAAAAAATCCTGCAGAAATCAGAGCTGTCCCAGTCTTCGAGTTTGCCGCCAGGATTTAGCCACCGCTGCTTTGTGGAAGAGCACTGCGAAAGCTATTCCTCTTTGGGTCACGAGCTTGCCGCTTTGGAAGGCGCTGGATGTTTCCTTGCTCGTGATGCCCCCAGCCAATCTGGAGGGTTTTGAGTTCAGATGTGGAAACACTGAATGGTTCCAAGGAAGGCATGAATTGGCACTTTAAGAACCCAAGCACTAACTACTGCTTACTGTACGTGCATGCTCCTGGTTTAGATATACTGTCGTATGTTTTCACACCCCAGCCAATGACGCCAACAGGCCAGTACTTGGCATCTACGGCAACGTGTTTCAGCTGCAATATGACCGACTCGAGGCTGTTCGACCTCCTCCCCACTTGTCGGGACCGGCCGTTCTTGTTTGAGAACGGCCTGCTGTTCTCGTTGAGAGTGACTTTTTTGGGGGAAGGCACAGCTATTGAACGGATTCATGTAGCCTCCCTACAGGATGCAATGACCATGCATCAGTTGAGGTGCACAAAGATAGACAGCCAGGCCAACCATTTATGAACGTTGATACTACACATGAACTACCTACCAGGTAGATCCAGGTAGTATATAGCTAAACCCTAGTGAGTGAGGATGAGTCCAGGCCTTTATTCCGAATCGCCGGAACCTTTCGGGTCTGCCAGTACGTCTCACAGATTTGGCCAGGCTCCTGCTTCGGGGTTTGAACTTGGAGATCTTGGCGGCCCGATTTGCAGTGAGAGTCTTCCTGTGAGAACGGGAGAGGGATGAGAGGTGCTGTTCTGGGTAAGATTCTGGCATGGGTTTGTAAGGAGTATGCCTTTGACGGACATTGGATGCTTTGGTGGGGCGGTTTAGGGGTAGTAATTGATGTCAACACATGAAGCAACCGTCTCTCCATAACCTCCTCTACCAAAAACGAAAACCATCCTTCAACTTTTCCAAAATTGGGTACCAAACCCCTCCAATTAGATTAGTTTGGAGCAACTTGTTCGCCCAAAATGCTTGCAATATCCTGTAATACTAACCGCCTTTCTTCCATGAAAGGAGCACTCTCTCATCCTATGGTCCTATTGCCATTCATACCCGTCCTTCCCTTCTCAATCCAAGTATCACTCCAAAACGCCTTTCGATTCTGGGGGCATCTCTTAACACAATCAAATCTTTGGCATTTTCCCTCTCATGAAGAGATTTGGGGATCTCTCACCAAGAGACTAGTCTTGGGGATCCCTTCTCATGAAGAGATTTGGGATCTCACCTCATGAAGAACACTAAATAATGTTGTTCTGTTGGATCTCTCCTCGTTTTCTCATGAAGAGATTGATCACTTCGCTCAATTATGTGGGGTGGTTATTAGTCACGTGTCGCCACAACTAAGTACAATGAACTTAAGTTACTTTAAATTAAACCTATCTCAAAAAAAGCAACCTATTATGGCTGAATTCAAGATACCTTGCGAGTTCAGCCTGCGAGTGCAGGCTGATCTCCCAACTCCCGCATTGCGCCACCGCAGTTGCAGGAAAGTCAGATGAGGCATGCTGATGCCTTGCTTAAATCAGATATTTCCCGTATATAACCTTACACCATGTCACACCATTGGCCGGTCCAGTCCTCCTGATTCCTGGGCGCGTCGGAACCGATCCGCGCGGTGGTTTCGCATCTCCAAGGCTTCCTGGCCACATGGTCTCCAGCTGGGCGGTGCGCTGGCGCGACATGGCTTCGACACACAGCACTTGGACTTCGCCAAAGCGGTGCACGGTCGAACCCGGAGACCAAGCGGTGCAGGGTGGAACAGGATCCTATCGCAGGGTGACTGGAGGTAGCCCGTTGGTCCTTATGGGGCGCGTAGCCCACGGCCTGGTGGCCTGTTGGTCCTTATGCGGTCTGGAGTCTGGA